AAGGTTTAAAACCACACGATGGAGAGTAAATGAAGGGGTCATTTTCATTCATGGGTGAACTACACACAAAACATGTTGCGTTCCACACAATCAATAAGCTTACTAGTTTGTGGTTTGAACACAAAAAATTACCAATTTTCTTTACCAATTACCAGTTTTTCTTTTTAAGTTTGTAGTTTGAACGAAGAGCAAGCTTATTTAGAGTGTATTCAAGGTTACAGTTTATGTTGAAAGTTTTGAGGTCAGTAAGATTTATATTTGAAAGAAACGAATATACTGACATTCAGCAAATGCATCAAATTGATTTACGTTTGTTGTAAATTATATAAAATGTTTTAGTTTAAGTGGATTAAGCAAAATTAAGTTGTCACCAAAAGAAAACAGCTTTATTTAGAAGTTTGCACACTGAAAATAAATGACTCGAAGATGATTCCTTGTATTCCTTAAATTTCTTCATGCTCAGTAATTGTAAATGATTTATTTGTGCTGAATTTAAACAGACAAATTAAGTTGAACATTACAAAAATGAATTTGTTTGTTTAAATTCAACACACATAAATAGTTTGTAACAATTTTGCAGACATCTTTTTTTTTCTGGAGTGTCTTAATATAAGGTTACAGCACTGATGTTGAAAGTTTCAGGGTCAGTAAGATTTATATTTGAAAGAAATGAATACCGACATTCAGCATTGATGCGTCAAATTGATTTATATTTGTTATAAATTATAAAGATTGTTTTAATATAAGTGGATTGAACAAAATTAAGTTGTCACCAAAATAGAACTCCTTTTCTTCAAGTTTGTAGTTTGAGTAAACAGCAAACTTAATTTTCTCGAGTGTAATATACACTGTAAGAAATGCTATGATTAATTAGTCATGACAGCCTATGTTTTTAATTCACTGTAACTTATTAAACTAAATTAATCATGTTCTAACTTAACAGTATAAGTTACACAAGCTGTTTTAAGTCAGTTTAACATATTATGAGTTGAATTGACTTATAAGGGTGTTTTGATTTAGCTTACAGATTTAAGGCAACCGGGATTTTTTTTTACAACGTAAAGTAATAGCACTAATGTTGAAAGTTTTGAGGTCAGTAAGATTTATATTTGAAAGAAACTATTACTGACATTCAGCAAAGATGCATCAAATTGATTTACATTTGCTATAAAATTTATATACTGTAAGTGCTTGGTTCTACATTTGATTTGTGTTGGGGCAACATGAAGAAATTAAGAAAATTAAGAAATTAAGTTTATTTGTTCGTTTTTACAAATATAAGATGATTTACCATAAAACAATTAAGCTGTCACAAAAAACTTAAGAATTGTGTTGGTTCAGCTAATTTTAAATAAGTAGTTTGAACAAGCTGCAAAAGTCATTTTGTATAAGTGTAGATTAATAAATGCATTTTCCCTCTCCAAGATGAATCTTGTGAAATAAACTGTTATTGTTTCCTGAAAAATATTTAGCAGCACAAACGTTTATAAAAATAAATATTTTTGAGCATCAAATCTGCATATTGCAGTGATTGTAGAAGGATCATGTGTCACTGAAGACTGCATTGATGATGCTGAAAATGTAGCTTTGTCATCACAGGACTGAATTACATTTAAAATCCATTAAAATAGATTAAATTGAATATATATATATATATATATATATATCAATAATTGCATCCCTTTCTTAATTAAGCACACAAAAAAATCTTAAAGACCTCAGTATTTCAATGGTAGTGTACATCTTTTTGCACGCACAGTACACGACAGTGAAAATGTTCATTTGTGTCCATCAGTTTTTGCTCTCCAGCTTGATTAAATCCTTGTGACATGTCAAGTGTTGCAGTACAGTTTGAATGTAGAGTACTGTATAACTCGTCTGTCTTATTAAACTAGCAACTTGAAAAGTATCTAGTTTTTCAAGCTTTTAAAAGGATTTTGAATGTACAGTATTTGTGAATTCATTAATTAGATATTGCATTATAAACGCTGAATCTAAGTGCATTGATTTTTTTTTATAATGTGCAGAAAACTGTTTGGAATTTCCACTATTTTTATGAACCTTGAAAAATGTATGATTTTTTTTACTGTCTCAATATAAATTGTATAAAATTGTATAAATTAATTATATATATATATATATATATATATATATATATATATATATATATATATATATATATATATATATATTTATGCATGTATATTTATTTATTTATTTATACATGTATATTATTTATAGATGTGTTAATAATTGTTTATTAATTATTTAACAAAGCATACAGACTGAAATATCTTAGACATATATCAATTTAATGCTGGAAATAAGTTTATCTGATACATATTTGTAAAAAAAAAAAAAAGAAGCAGCCAATGTTTTCAAGAACATCTTAATTTTTCATTGAATCCATTAAGTTCTTTAAGTGTTTGTCTTTCTGTGCCAGCTGGTTTGTCGTGATGTTTAGTTCTGACAATTTACGTGGGACATGAACTGTCACATTTGTTTTAAGACGAAAGACTTCAGCTCATATTTGACTTATTTGCATCGGCCCCAAGACACACCCTTGAGGCATTCCTGTGTTTAGGCTAGTTTCCAATTGAACACGAGTGGTTAAAAACCCCCTAGATATATCTGCTGAATGTATGCAAGGAATGTTGAATGAAATCATATTATGACAGTGCGCTCATCTCAGTGCACACCAATCAGAAAACCTCAGCTGTGTGCTTTTGAACAACAACTGTAGTTTTGCTAAATGAATCGTTTTTTGGTGTTCACTGAACTGTAAAAATTGTGCAACAGTAATGTATGTAAATTATAATTCTTAATATAGTAATATAGAAACAGAAATATTATTGGAACAAAAATTTACTTATTTTAAAACATAAGTAGGTTACATCTGACTATTATTTAATCTGTTATACTGGGTTAAATGCAGTTTGCCTGATTTTGCCCCGTAATGCAGTGGGACTTTGGCCCTCATAATGATGGCCCCTATATTTCATGTACTTTGCTACTGCTGTACTTTCTAGTTACAGTGCTGTTTGCTTTTTCCACCTGTTAAAAAAAGTGCGTTTGAATGGTCAATGTCCAAACACAGAAGTAAGCGTTTGAAGGTGCCTTAGCTCATTGAATTGTTCAGGCATTATTAGTCTGGCAGGTCGCTTTCATAACAGAAATATAGTCTTATAATCCTCTTCAAAGTGACGTCGCAATATATATACCTCTTTTTCTTTCCTTATTCTGTTTTCATGCCTCAGAGTGTTCAGGTCAGGAATTCTCATGTAAGTATGATCCTTCTCAATTTGGCAACCCCGGCATGAAAGGCTTGCTCTGATTTACTAGGTTATGATTTCTTTGTTTTGCATTCGTTTAAATAAATACCGGTAATTAAAAAGTTTGGGATCGGTGCACTTTCATATTTTTACAAGCAATTTCTAAAATGGTAGAATTTTATGTGATCTTAAATGCAGTTAAAACAATAGACTGTTGGCAGGTAAAAGTTTTCTATAATATATAATGTTGGAAAACACAAATATTATAGAACTTAAAAGGCTTTTAATGTATTTTAAAATGTATGTTGTTATAACACCATTTTTACTACACATCATTACTTTCTAAAATTTAAAAAAATGTGGATTTTTTTTCATGTATTAACATTAAATTTCATGTATTCATTAGTTGTTTTTAATTGTTTATTTATTAATTAAAGGTTTTTGCCATGAAAATAGCCTGTGTTGCTCACATCGTTTTAAAGAAAAATACGTCATAATCATATTTTTCCTGATATTTAAATCACAAGACTTATCATCATTATTATTAGTGTTAAAAATTAAAATTCAAAGTTACTGAGCCCAAACTTTTCTTTTTAGTGTATGTAAAGGCGATTCAGTTCCAATCTGTGAATGCTGATTGGTGAATACAGAGTTCAAGCTGTGCTTAAATATGCATTATACTTTCTGAAAACATCTCATTACACTTCAGTTTACATGTCGGGGACAGAGAATGTGAAAGTATAAGCACCATTAGACAAGATTTTATGATGAAAACACTTTAATGCTTTTAAAACAGTATCACCAGGAACAATTTTACGTTATTTATCAAACATGGAAGTGAACAATCATATTTAACTTTTAATGTACAGTTTTGATTGATTTATTTCTATTTATATATTTGTCTGTGCATCATCTCTCAATAAAATATATAGTTCTTCTTATGTTATGTTTTTATGTATATTGATTAGAGCTGCACAATATCAGCATCGATATCACAATGTACGCACACACAATAGTCGCATTGCAAGATATGCAATGTTGACTCTGAATTGTAGTTAACCTGAAGCTAAAGAATTATATTTATTTACTGTAATTATAAGGAATTTATTTAAAAATGGTTATACTTGTCCTATTTCTAGTCCAAATATCTACATTTTCAAGCAAAAACAAGATAACTTTACTCGCCCCTCTGGCAGATAATTTTGCTTATTTTAAGGAAAAACTCTTAAATTTGACTTTTATTTCTTCTCAAGTTGAAAACAAAACAATATTTTTTCTTGACCTAAGAATGTTCAGATGTTTGGTCTAGAAATGAGACAAAGCAAAGTAAGAAAAGCATATTTTTTTTCACATTGTGATTATTCCATTTCTGTACATAAATACTATTAGACTCCCTTAAGAATTGTGCTATTCAAACTGTCTTCGGAAACTATTCATATCGCTAAATTTATCTCAATTTCAGATTTTCATGAAGCCCTAATATTGATCTTTAAGTGGCTGATGTGGCAATTAATAAACAAACAAACAAACAAACAAACATGTCGGGGACTGTATTTTGTAGCAGCGGAAGTAAGACGCTAAATACATATTCTAAATTGTTTATAACAAAATTTTTAAATAGTAAAGCTCTCTGTTATGTTCTTCTAGCAGTGATTAATTCGCAATAATTCTTTATTTTTATGCCGTCTCAAAGCAGGGTTTATATTTCTAATCGTGTTCCTCTTTTAGGAGCTTTACTATCTGAGAATGCAGCGAGCGCAGGAGAAGATGGAGCGGTTGGAGAAGCCAAAGAAAGAAAGACTCCGCGTGTGCGTGGCCACTTGCAACCGAGCGGACTACTCCAAACTGGCACCCATCATGTTTGGCATCAAATCTCACCCGGACATCTTTGACCTGGAGGTGGTGGTGCTGGGTTCACATCTCATTGACGATTACGGGTAAGAAAGCTTGAGCAGAAATTAAGTTGCGTCATCTCTTTAACAAACTTGCACACTGTTAAAAATGCTGAGATTTGTACAATTCCTTCATGTTTTCCCGACATAAATTGATTAAAGTGTTTTGATAAATTTAAGTGGATTGAACATAAAACAATTAAGTTTCCCCAAAAAATCCTTAAGAATTGTTGTTTTTAAGGCAAGGCAAGCTTATTTATATAGCACAATTTATACACAATATCAATTCAAAGTGCTTTACATAAACAAGAATAAAATAAAATAGAATTAAAAATAATTAAGTAAAATTTGTTAAAACAGACTTATAAAAAAAGAAAAGAAAGATAAAACGGTGCTCATTCAGTAAAGGCACAGCTAAACAGAAGAGTTTTAAGTCTTGATTTGAATGTACCTATTGTTGAAGCACATTTTTTCAACTCATTTTAATAAGTAGTCTGCAAGTAATTAGCATTTTTCAACTCATTTTATTAATTAGTTTAAACAAGCAGTAAAAGTCGATTTCTGTGTATATTTTGAAAAGGTAAATTGTGTGTTGTAGCAGGTATTCACAACTGTTTATATTTAATCAGTGAAATGGAAAAGATTTGGTCCATGTGTTGAATCACTCGTCTTGAAGTGTGTCGGGTCACAGAGGATATATGTATGGATGTTAATGAATTGTTGCTTATCTGTAACGTTTATGGTCTTGTCGGGCAGATAAAAAGGGATATATCGAAGTTGTTAGAATAGGAGTGTCTAATGTACACTCGCAAAATATACTGATGTACTGTTAAAGTGATTAACAGAAAGAAGATTTTTTTTCAACACTTTTCTAAACATAATAGTTTTAATAACTCATTTCTAATAGCTGATTTTTTTTATCCTGGCCATGATGATAGCACATAACATTTTTCAAGACACATCTATACAGCTTAAAGTGACATGTAAAGGTTTAACTATTTCAATTAGGTTAATTATGCAAGTTAGGGCAATCATTGTATAACAGTGGTTTGTTTGCAAAAAATATTACCTAAGGGGGCTAATAATTTTGACCTTAAAATGGTTTTTAAAAAATTAAAAAGTGCTTTTATTCTAGCTGAAATAAAACAAATAAGGTTTCTCCAGAAGACAAAATATCATCAGACATGCTGTGAAAATTTCCTTCCCCTGTTAAACATCATTTGGGAAATATTTAAAAAACGAAATTGACAGTAGGTCTAATTATTTTGACTTCAACTGTATGTAATTATGCGGGAAAAAATGCTAAAAATCTAGAATTTTATAAATTAATATATAATAATTTAAGCCTCTATTTTAATGTTTTACATTACATAATTCATCATTGTGCTCAAACAACAGTGTAATTTTGGAAATACATCAGTCTTTTAGTGCATATGCAGTTAGCATTATCTATTAAGAACGGCCACAGGTGTTTGTCAATTGTATGTTTGGTTTCTGGCCTCATTTAGTTGCAGTTATTTTTAGATGTACAAAACATCTTATTTTGCTGCCCGATGATGCAGTTATATCAGCAGTTTTTACCATGTTGTTTCAATGTATTGTCTTATGCTGGCTTTCTTCATTTTGCAGTGTTATCTTTTCTCATTATTTCCCTGTAGTGGCTAATGAATTTAAGTCTTACACATTCACACTACATTTTTTCCCCGCCATGTAAAATGTACAAAATGTTTAAAATTAAGTGTGTATTTTACTTCCAGATCCGCTTTTGAAAGGTTTTGGAAACAGTAAAGAAAATGTCAGCACCAATTGGAAAACCTTTTACTAACATTGCAGTTTGCATATTAGTATTTAAGTGTAAAAACTATCAGTAAACTGTCATGTTAACTGTGTAAAATACATACATATATATATAATTGATAATAATTGCTGGATCTATTTGCAATTACTGTGTGGATAAATATGATGTAGCTACTTCAACATACAGTAATTTACCTTGTACAGTGGTAATTCTGGTTTTATAATTATGTTTATATTATTCTAAAGGTGCATAGTTTCAGATTTCATGAACTCTTTCACATTTGTAATGTCTGCTGTTCTGTGCTGTTATCAACTTTCTATAGAGTCGGGAAAATTCTTCATGAAAATAACAATTTACTTGTTTCAAATATTTGCAATGTAAGAATATAGAGTGGTGCTTTAGGTTTAGAATCTGTTTTCTCATTAAAATCTGATCTGTTTTTATGGGTTCAGTTGATCTTATTAGCTCTACAGTAGTGGCCGACTTTTGTTCATTAGCAGTGGTTTAGAAAGTATTTCCCCATTCTTTTTTTTCCCCAGATGTCTTTGTTAAAGCCTTAACAGCTTTGAAAACATGCTGCCCACCAGCCATTATGGATTTTCACAATCATAACACTACAAAACTATATGAACATTGGTCAATGTCTATCTAGTGTCCACTTGGTGTCTAAAATGAGGAAAATATCTTGACAAAATCACATTTAAAAATCCATCAACACAATCTCACAGCAGTTTGTAATTTTTTTATTTGGTGGCTATTTCGTATGAATTCTTATGATCTCATTTGTACAATTTAGTACGATTTGCTTATCCCCCCAAATAGACACATGAACAGTTTGAGTTTACTCGCTTCATTCGAGCGTCAAATTCACTTCACAATAGATGCAGATTCACATCATAGGCAGGGCTTCCGTCTGCCTCGTGACTAGCTTCATTGCTTAATGGCTAACATGGATTTTATTTAGATAGTAGCTGTGTTTATGTGCTTTAGGGATGCTGAAAAACAGCTAGATTCGTTTGGCGCTGTGTCTGAGTCCACCAGACCCTTTCTGAGGTGCACCCAGCTCTGTGAGTTCAGAAAATATACCTGGATGATCGAAGCTTTCAGCGGAGCTTCAGACTGAGCTGAGCCCAGTTTGAAGAGCTTTTGTCTGGTGTCAGGAAGAGGATTTCCCCTTGGGACACCAACAACAGGCACTACGTCATAATTACTCCCCTACAAGAGTAAGCTTATGATTGGTTGACAACTCAATTGTCCGCTAAAGTTCAGATTATTCAACTCAAGTGAGATCAGATTTTTAAAACGTGCAAAATGCTGAACTCATGCCACTTCATCCATGAGAATCGCCCCGCAGGATGTCTATTCGCGTTTTTGCATTAACCTAACATGTAAGTCACTCACACTTGATGCTTCATCCGCGTCTAGTGTGAATGCAGCATTACAATTCTGCTCTCAAATTAGCCACTAAACTGACAAAACATAAAATAGTTATGTTTCCTCGAGATAAGGCTGGTAAAAATAAATGTCTAGTATATTAAATGTTTAAACATATAATATTTTAAGAATGTAGAGATCTATTTAATATTTACCACACTTCAGAGGAGTGGGTGGAGCTAAAGGCACACTTTGCTAGCTGGGACTCTCTGATTGGTGTTTTTTTTTAATACTAATTCTAGTGTTAAAAAATAGATGTTTAAACAATAAAGTTGAATTAATGCGAACAGATTATTTCAACAAAATTTACAATTGAAAAACAACCTCAGAGATCACAACAGGTGTGTGTTTATATGCTTATCAGTTATTATACAACATCACAATAATAATTTCTATGGAGAAGTTGTTTTACCCTGACTGTTGCTGTCTATATGGCACCACCGTGGCTTTACCAGTATTATTAGCTTATATTCATATGTACTGTAGGGACAGTTGAAATGATCAATATAGTTAGGGTTAGGAAAAGGGTCGGGACGTTTAATTAATTTAGTTTCTGTGTGAGAAAAGACAGTTGTTCATACAGGTTTATAATGTTGACTGAGTCTTTCATTTATCTGTGAACAGTCTGATCTGTTCTCTCTGTAAGGTCATAACGTCTCACAGCGGTAATGTAAAACAAACAAGCAAAGTCGTTTCCAGTAACACTGTCTGCGTCTAGGTTCGAGAGCTTCATTACATGATTCAGCACTATTTCTCACCGTTGCCTTGGAAATGTTGGTATGCGGCTTTTGACAGTGGGAGTTTAGCTCTCTCTGTGACCAGAAGTCATTGTGTTTTATCACTGAAGCCAAACCAGCCTTTGCTCCTTCTGGGTTCAGTGAAATATGACATTACCTACATGGAGCAAAGCCTTTTTTTATTTTTATTTTTCGGAGCTAATGGAAAAGTCTACATCTTTTCAGTCTTTGGTACTGCAAGGTGTTTTGAGATGTGCTTTGTGATTTGTTATAGAGTTCCAGATTTATGTTTTCTTTATATCTTATTAAAATGCATTAGCAGGTTAGCTGTGCAGGTTGTTTGTGTCTTTCCATAGATATTTACATTAGATGTTGCCTACGCTATTGTTGTCTATTATTGTCTATTAGTATCAATAGAGCCTCCATTTTAGTACAGGGTAGCGCTCCTTTGAAATCTATGTGGGACCAAGGTGCAGTGGATGACTGGCTATCCAGAGCCAGAGATATACACATATATACACATATCTATGATTGGGAGTTTTCCCAGTGGTCAGTACTCAAATATTTTTTTAAAACATGATAATTATAATTTTACATCACTTTTCTACATCGATGGATGAGTGACGGCACGGGCATTGCTGGCATGGACATGTATTATCCTCCCTCCCTGTTAAATTTGATCTAATCTATGCCCTGATACACTTCTCCTTTCCTGCTTTCACTTCTCATTTTAACGGAGGGAGCGATTCGTTTGTGAATGAATCTCCGTCATGAACGACTTCTTCACTTAGCCGACATTAATACAAGTTTCTAGCACCACAGCATCTTGTTGTCATATTTCATTTACATTGTTTGCTGATTTTATTCAACCAAACTAGCATAAGCCTAATATTTAGTGCGAGTTGGTACTACTTTGCCTTATGGTCAGTGCAGTAAGTGACTGTGTTATCATCAGTAACGTTACTTGTTTAGCACAAGAGTTCAACACATATAAAAACATAAAAAACGAAATATTACCTATGAAAAGTTCTGCCTTTATGCTTTGTTTTCTTTGTTTGCTCGTTATTGCACACCCGTACACAGCGCTAAAGTCCAGCATCTTCACATTGGCTTTAGCCTTGACTAGTGCTGTTGAATGACATTTGTGATGGGAGCACTGTACAAATGTGGCGGCGCTATTAAAGCATGCTCAGGGTCCCTATGCAGTGTATATATCTATTGTGTCTTTATTTGTAGCTGTTGTGACTCTATATGGGGTCTTCTTTATTATTTTAATGCACCAGTTTCAGATGACTTTTTGAAATAGCCAAATTTATAGCGCTTGTTTGAATTTAATAGACTCTATGCAGGAACTCTGCTGACGTGTTTTTGGGAGGAGCTTAGTCAGTCTCTCTACTTCCACATAGCGCGTTCTACAGCGAAATCTAATAGTGGTGAAACTTAAATGCATCGGAGCATGGCAAAGAGGGGAGATTTACTCTTCAATTGATGAAGATCCTGTGCTAGTAGATGCTCAGCATCAGGAACATCATTATTGTTCAGTTCTACAACCCGGTAGATGATTAATACACCAGATTTGGCTGACAGTCTCCGTGACTGAAAGGAGACTGCTTCGATGCTACTTTTGGTGATGTTAAACGGCTCTTAGAAACTCTTAAAAGCATCGAGTGTTATCTATCATCCTCACCTGCGCCATCCGCTTAAAGTGATCGCTGTGCTGCACCGGAAATTTTCGTGTGGGATAACCGCAAACGTGGAAGAGATTGTGCATCTAGAGTCTATTTACTAGTGTGGTTTATTCCCTGCCTATTATTAAGATATTTGTTGTTTATTAACATTTATAAAGTGGAGTTTCTGCATGTTTGTATTCTATATCCCCAATCATACTAAACCCAACTGCTATCTTAATAACTAACCAGTAAATTAGGAGTTTGAACCTAAAGTAACAATTTATTGCGAAGATCTAGAGTTTTCGTCAAAGGGTGTGTGGCATTTTAAGCCAAAACCTCAAACTCACACAGACTTATTTTACATCTTGTAAAACGAGGAGTTATAGATCCCTCTCAATCTGTTAATTGATTCTCAAATTTATTAATCCTCAAAATAATGGTTAGTCCTATTTAATCACAATATGCCTCTCTCTTTCCCAGAAACACGTTCCGTATGATTGAGCAGGATGACTTTGACATCGGCTCCAAATTACACACCATAGTTCGCGGTGAGGATGAGGCTGCCATGGTGGAGTCTGTCGGCCTGGCGCTCGTCAAGCTTCCCGATGTCCTCCAACGTCTCGCGCCCGACATTCTGCTGGTTCATGGTGACCGTTTTGATGCTTTGGCTCTGGCGACGGCGGCGGCTCTGATGAACATTCGGATATTGCATCTGGAGGGTGGAGAAGTGAGCGGAACCATCGACGACTCCATTCGCCATGCCATCTCCAAACTGGCACACTACCACGCCGTGTGCACGCTCTCTGCCGAGAGACACCTCATCTCCATGTGCGAAGATCACTCTCGCATCTTACTGGCCGGCTGCCCGTCGTACGACAAGCTGCTCTCCGCCTACAAACGAGACGATTATGCGGACATCATCAAGTCGTGGATCGGTATGTAGATGAATGGAACGGACAAAACCTCAAGATAGCACAAAGTGCTATTTTGATGAACTGTTAATTTCTAGATGTTGCAAGGTTAATAATATGTTGCATTATTAACATATATAAATATATATGTGTGTGTATATTAGGGGTGTCACGATTTCGATTTTTAATCAAAATCGATCGAAATTTATGCTCAATTTCGATTATCGAATCAAAAAATAGAATTGTCGATGCTGCCACGCCCCCATGTCACGTCAGCTTGGCTTGCCAAGCGGGAAAAAAACAGGCTTGTTAAACTGCAGAAGCAGGAGACCCATCGTCAGAACTTAAACCCACTCCTCTTTCAATGAAGTCGCTGGTGTTTAAGCATTTTGGATTTCCAGTGAGTTATGTTGACAACGTTTGTGTTGTCGACAAAAAAAACACAGTTTTGCAAGCTCTGCTATGTACGTATTACGTACGGTTCGTCCGATAGACAACACCGGCATCGCGATCCTCCGCCCGCCCCCGTTGCAAATCCGCTTGCGAAAAGTACACACTCAGACCCTGTTTACACTGTCTTTGTTTTTTTAAATGGCATTTTGGAACGACAACGATTTGACATCCACAGTGGCGTGTAACATTTCTGAGCAGCCCTCCTTCCTCACTACCTCCGAAAATGCACATCACATGACCACAAAGACACAGACGCACACACAGCCATGCGCTCAAGACAGCAGGTCCAGGCATTCAGAGGACTGCTTCAATCTTTCACTCACTTGTACTTAGTCATTTTAGTGAACACCTCAGATACTGTTGGCTGGTTCCTATTGGTTGTGCGTCTTTTTTACCGACGCCATTATAACGACACAGATCACTGCCTATTCACGAGTCCCGCAGAAAAAGTGATTGACAGGTGGTAATTATGTGTGTATCTTGCCTTTATTCATTTATTGTATGATTTGTTTATGGGTAAAACAAAGACCATCCAGGTCAGGTAGTTTAAACGGTAGGCTACAAATAATTAATTGGTCATTAATTAATTAATTATTCATAATCGAAAATCGAATCGAAAATGTAATTGAATCGAGGATTTGGAGGATCGTGACACCTTTAGTGTATATTCACCGTTTTTTTTTTCTTCTTTGATGTGATGTCAAATGGTCAACTTGGCAGGATTCACCAGTAGGAAACAACAGTGTTTCAGTGATCCAACCTAGCCTATCCCTGATAGACTCTATCTATCTATCTATCTATCTATCTATCTATCTATCTATCTATCTATCTATCTATCTATCCATCTATCCATCTATCCATCTATCTATCTATCTATCTATCCATCCATCCATCCATCCATAAAATATACCTTTAAAGGTACCATAAAATGTACTGGGTGGCAATGAGTAAACATATAGTCTGTATTTCATTATTTTGTTCTGGTAATGAGATGTCTGTTGCATTACCCATGGCTTTCTAATGGCTGCCTCTTTTTTAAAATAATAGTCCTACATATAATGAAAAATAGGAAATATTTTAAGCTGTGTTAAACTTAGAAGACAAGGAAACATTTTTATCACTGTTGTACTCTCACTAGGAAATATTGTAGCCAATTAGATTCTCCTGAGGCGTACGTATTAATGATCCCGAGTGTGACATAACAGTCAGTGTTATGTTCTGATTTGCCTATTTTTCTGGGGTCTTTTACTCAAGTGAGAAAAAAAGGAGCAAACAATGGAGTTGGGGGCTTATGCTATGTCATTATTCAACTGTGACTAAGTTTATGCAGTTTTCCTTTCTATGGCACCTTTAAAGGGCTATGACACTCCCCACTTTCGGTTCAAGTCTACCTCAGAATTAAAAAAAAAATGCATCCTAATGGCCGTTGAGTTCTGCTATCAGGAGTGGGCGTGGCCAGCAGAGCAGGGGAGAAGGAGGGGAGCGAACAACTGTTGTCAGTCGACTCACAAAATGAGACACAAACCATGAGGACACCCATGATTTTATAGTTTACAAAGTTAAAATGTAAAGAAATAAACAGTAATTTAATGTCCTGCTACATTTGTTATTCGTAATTTCAATACACACAACCATAATTTATATCATTTTAAAGATATTCGTGTTTATATGAACACCAAATGAGGACTTCTACCTCAATCCCCGGGTCTGAATGCAGACTGTGCTGTTGTCCTGTCTATTTTAACCATTAGCCCTGCTGGTAATCTGGTAATCTAAACAATTCTTTGCTTTGACAGCATCGCGGGGAAAACATGCAACAAACCCCGTGGGTAATAGAAACTAACACATGACCCTTCATGAACAGTTAAATACAGTTTGCAGTGGGTCCGTGGACGTGGTTTCACCCAGTCATCAAGGTAGGATCCCACAGTAGGCACTGGCAGGTTTGCCTTGCCTTTGGAAAGCACATGTGGTCATGAATAATTAAGAAGCAGGCTCTTCTCATTGGATAAGAAAACTCTGCTATGAATAATGATGAGAAACCAACACGTCATCTTTGCACTTGCAATTTTGTGCTACATCACCGATTTTGATCCGGCCCCAAAATAATTTTAAACGCGGAAGATGAAATTAGCTGACAAAAGCACCAAATTATCCAGTTTACCCCACAATTACAGCTAACAGGTGCTAACATTGTCTTAACTGATGCTCAACACACACAAATCTTTTAAAATCTCAAAAATACTCGGGTTTCTTGAATTTTTAATGGCACCAAGCTAATGATTCTACAGATGACAAAGTTTCAATTGATTCAGATTAACACGCCTCAGCAATACATTGCATAATATTTAACAATTAGGTCAGTAGACAAGAGTGGGCTGTTTGAATACACTTTACCCCACAGGAGAGTTTACTCTACAAAGCACTATCTCTGTAAATGGTTGAAAGCATTGTCCACTTATTATTGTATTTATAAAACCACATCTTAATATCCAGATTTAGACCTGGAGCTAATGTGTGTGTTTTTTTTTTTGCTGAATAGGGGACGACGTGAAGGAACAGGACTATATTGTAGCCCTCCAGCATCCTGTTACCACAGATATCAAGAACTCCATCAAGATCTACGAGTTAATGCTGGACGCTCTCATTTCCTTCAACAAGAAAACTCTCATTCTCTTCCCGAATATTGACGCAGGTCAGCTCTTGCTCCCTTTTTTTTTTTTTTTCTATTAATTTCTCTCAGTTTCTTGTTTTTTAAAGGTCCCTCCAGGAAAGTACTTGAGTTTCAGACATATGGATTCAAGGCCTGGAAAATACTTAAAAACAAACATGGGTCCTTGAAAGTGCTTGAATTAAATTTGAAATGGTTTGTAATGGTGTTATTTCAGCAATTGTATTGCATAGCTGTCAGAAAAAGAATGAAAAAAAAAACTCATAATTTAAAAATACTAAATTTAAATCTTGTACTAAAAATACTGCACTTTTTAAAATAAATCTTTGTATATTGGTTTTAATTAACATAAATAAAAACAAAGCAAGAACAAAATGAACAAAAAAGGACAAAAACAAGGATGCCAGTAAATGCAAGTATAGTAAAAAAAGGTTGCAAAAATCTGAGTAAACATAGTTTGTAACTTGTTTTCTTTTTCTGGTAAGCAATGCGATGCGTTACTTTTGAATTACTTTTTAATACTTAGCGAAGGCTTGATCTCTTTCAGAACTTTTTTTCCCGTTTTTTTTTTAAATAGAGGAGCTCTGCAATTAACATTGCACTGTATTATCGACACCATCATTTACCTTAAAAAAAATATTTTTACAGTGTTTGCTGTGTTTGCTACTGTTGTCTTATTTGTCTTAAGTAAAATTACTGTACATTATGACAATTCCCTTTTCCTTTTATTTGATGCATTCGAAATAATGAACCCATTCTCTCATTCACAGCATGATTCATTGTGACTACTTTAGCTTTAATTCAGCATTTTTTAAAAGCTAATTATTTAAACCAAAAAAGTAACTTAAGTTACATTTTTGAAAAATTAACTCAAACGTTACTTATTTTTTAAAAGTAATGTGTTACTTTACTCTTTACTTAGAAAAGTAATATTATTACATTACTTGTATTGCGTTTCCCCCAACAATGATTACCAGTATTGAATTCAACAAATTTTATTACAATTTTTGAAAATGACATGCTCAAAATATCATCATTACTCTGATATTTGAATGTCAATATTAAGTGTAAGGGAAGTGTTTAGCACAGTAAGGACCGCATAAAGGCGGTCGCACAAGTCTTCATGTCGTTTTATATACACTGCTTAGCAACATGGACACCTCCCAAATTGTTAAAAATGTCACAAACTGTATAAGGTATAATTCACTCAAAAATATAATTTTTGTCTTAATGTAATGATGTGTTATGACAAGCATTTGATATGTTTTTTCTTTCATAACGAACACAAAGTGTTTTGCATGAAAATAAACATTTACTAGATCAGTATAACTACTCCAGCCTATATAATGTTGAATATAATGCAAGAGGGAATCTGATTATGACAAATGTCTCATTTTACAAGTGAAAAAAATGGTAATGTTGTTGTCAATGACAAATGACAAGCACATGTCTCAAACATATTAATTCAACCTCAGAATTATGAATAGTTGTATTCTGATGTCATCAGTTTACTGTGCATTAATGACCAGGACTGTCTATTCAGGTCCACCATTCAAAGTATATACAAACCTTCACATTTTTAACCAACAGCAGACCAACACATAGGCCTAATATTATTGTTGTTGTTTTACCATATGTTAGAGAATAACAATAATAATAGCAGACTCATATTAACCTTTATTTTACATCTACAGAATCGTGAGAAAAACGTGATCTTTTAGCCAGAATCGTGTAGCTCTACTACATATGCTGTTGAGGGAATTACAGCGGTGCTTGATTCGAAATGAAAGGTGCTTTAAAACGGCCTTGCACCTGTTCTTCTTTAAAGAGTGGGAACTCTGTTCACAGTAAAACACAAAAAATGAAGCAAACGCCATTTGTTTTGAGAAAGCAGTCAGTTTAGACTGCAGATATATATAAAAAAGCCGCTGCACCTGCACCCAAAGTGCTCTATAGGCTATATATTTACTGTCTTCTGCCCTGAGAGTTTGTGTGTCTGTGTGTTTTTTCTCACATTGAAAAGCTTCACATGACCCTCAGCCAGTTTATCATCAGTGAGTTATAAAATAACTTAAGCAAGGGCTCAGGAGATAGACTACACGGTTATGGCTACAGTTATGGTTTTGAGTGCAAGTTAATGACAGGTAGACGCTACTGGAGAAGCAGTCAAAGCAGAGCTGTTTGTCTTGCATTGAAATAAATCTCCAGTCTGTTTACAGAAACGCCACCAGTCTAAACATCACAAGGGCACTGACGCCGAGATATCTCTGTCAGCCATAGTGTTTTGATGCACCTGAAAATGTAGTGATTCCTTAAAAACGCATAGCTGTGCCAGCTTGACAGTGAGGAGCTTTAACTGTTATGAGAGAATATCTGCAGTACATTAGTATTAATAAGTAATATGATCATTTGTAGTGAGGGCAATTAAAAAAAATATTCTATATTTTTTGGTTGCTGTGCTTTATGTAGTGACAGTTTAGTGGTATTTGTCCTTCCTTCACTTTCATTTGACGGCTGCACATGAGTTGTATTGATGAGTGCTGGGTTTTACCTAAAGTTAAATCCTCAGTGCTCCTAAAAATGTAAAAAATCTGTTAAATAGACAGTCAAGCGCTCTGATCTAATAACTTTCTCGTATATTGTAGCCAACATTTGACATTTTTCTGTTATATAAATGTGTGTTAATTAGAAACTATTTTACTGTGGTTGTACTTTTATGTATTTTTTAATAATTATGTACTATTGAAATATTTATATTTTAATTTTTGTTAGTTTTTATTTTACTTTTAATTTAAATTTATTGTGTACATTCTTTTTATGTTCTTCTTGTTTTTCATGTTTTTATAATTCAATATTCAATATCAATATTCATATTATATTTAATGTTAGCTTTCAAGTAGCATTTAATTTTTTTATAGTTACCTGTATGTATTGCTGTATCTATCAGATGTATGTATTTCACACACACACAGTCAAAATTCAAAAAGTCTAAATTATTATCCCTTCTGCAAAATTAGATTTTTATTTTCCAATATTTTCTTAAGTGATGTTTGATAGAGCGAGGAAACTTTCCCAGTATATCCTATAGTCTTAAAAAAATAAGATAGCCGTTAATCTATTCTCAAAGTTGGGTTGGGAGCTGGGTCTGTTCTACGCAAGCTATGGTGACTTTCAACTTGATATTTTAGCGTGGATGTATACCTGACCGGTAAGCCGTCTGACTAAAAAGTGCCCTTCTGGATCAAATCAGCAGGATGCTCTTCTGGCTCTTCGGCAGTTTCACATTCACTCATGATCATAGTTTGATCGTGGTGTTTACTTCAAGAATGCCACTAATTGATGCATTCTCCCCGTCTTAATTCCATTTCTGTTTAGTTCAGTTATGGCTTTAGTCGGATTAAGGTGATCAAAAATCGCTGTTTTGAGCTTATGTAGACCTACAGTTTAAAAGTCATGTTTACCTGAATGAACAGTTAGTAAACATAAGTACATCTTATTGAACATCATTTATGTTCTTCACCAATTATCATAGTAGAACAGTTTCTGAAGCAGTTTGTGATTCATTTTGGAAACAGGAGATGAGCTGCTGGTCTAATGCGCCACCTGGCTTGAGAAACCCATTCTCAAAGACTTACCTTTAGTCATTATTTGGGTAGCACACATATTCTGAATGCCTTTAGTAGAATTTAAATGAGCCATTTTAATTTAGATTAATTTCAAGATTACAGTGAGATTAGTCTAGATTAAAAAAAAATCTATGCCCATCTATATTTAATACTTATATACTACATATATTAAGTACTATATATACTATATATATATATATATATACACACAACTCGCAAAAGCTATCTTTTAAATTCCTATTTTAATAGGAAGCTATACAATATTATATTTGTGCATATACATTATATTAATAATCAGTACTGAAACGATCTTAAATCTAGAGCCTATCTAACAAAATAACCTATAATAACTGTCCAAAATCTAGTACCCAAATTTAAATGTCATAGAAAAATATTAAATACACATTTAAAAAAAGAGGGAAAATCAAGAGAGGCAAAAAAAATAGTTTTTTAAATTTGAAAACCATTTTTAATGTCAATATTATTAGCCCCAGATTGGCTACAGAGCAAACCACTGTTGTTCAATGACTTGTCTACTTAACTGATAACTTGCCTAGTTGACCTAATTAAACTAATTAAGTCTTTGAATTGTAATAATTTGGATTTTAAGTAAAAGTGTTTAAAATTCTTTATGATTAATCCCCAAAATCTCCTCTCACAATCTCAGATCTTCTCTCAACCTCTCTGTATATAGTAATTGTGCATATTGAGTTGTGTTAATGGCACACTGCTCTGTGTTTGTGTCCTGCAGGCAGTAAGGAGATGGTTCGTGTGATGCGGCGGAAGGGAATCGAGCAGCATCAGAACTTTCGTGCAGTAAAGCATGTGCCGTTCGATCAGTTCATCCAGCTGGTGGCTCACGCAGGCTGCATGATCGGAAACAGCAGCTGTGGAGTTCGGGAAGCCGGAGCGTTCGGGACGCCTGTCATAAATCTGGGCACTCGGCAGACAGGCAGAGAAACAGGTCAGAATGGATACAAATATTACCCATCAATGCTTGGAGAGAAATTTAGGCAGTGTGGTAGGATATGTTGATAGTGATTGTTCATTTAAGCTTAGAAAGTACAGTAAACTTTTGTGGATCTGGTTTACCAATGGATATATATATGTTTTATTATAGGGGAAAATGTTCTACATGTGCGAGACGCAGACACTCATAATAAAATCTATCATGCCCTCGAGCTGCAGTTTGGAAAACGCTACCCCTGGTAATGTTTTTTATTTTTCTTAAACATTTGCAATTAAGTATACTTATATCTGCACACATTAAATAGCAGTTAAAATTTTATGTTATTTTAGTATTATTTATTCACTTGTAGGGATCAGTATTTTAACTTTAAGATTTGTGGATATTATTGTATTGCACAGGTTTCTTTCTTTTTTGTCATTTTGTTTTTTTTTGCTTTTTGCAATAATTTTTTGTTCTTATAAATAGCTTTTATTCTATTCAGATATAATGTATTTGAGGATTTAGTTTTAATGTTTTTCTTTCATCTTTAGCTTTGTTTCAGTAATTTTAGATTTTTAGTTAAACATTTTTTTTAATATTTAAGTTTAAGCTTTTTAAGCTTCTGAAAAAATCATTCTAATCGTGTGATTTTAGTATTATTTATATACTGTTGAATTATAACATTTTGTATTAAAGTTTTTCTTTTTCAGTTAAATTTTACATTGCAGTGGTCCTTCACTATAACGCAGTTCACCTTTTGTGATCTTGCAGTTTTGCAGATTTTTTTAGAGCAGTTCGACACTTTTTTTTTTTTTTTACTGAGCATTGTGTTCTGCGTCCTGATTAGAGTTGGGTACCGAAACCCAGTGCCATTATGACAAATAATTAGATCACCAATGTCCATGTAAACGGCAACGCAGTGGCGCAGTAGGTAGTGCTGTCGCCTCACAGCGAGAAGGTCGCTGATTCGAGCCTCGGCTGAGTCAGTTGGCGTTTCTGTGTGGAGTTTGCATGTTCTCCCTGCGTTCGCTTGGGTTTCCTCCGGGTGCTCCGGTTTCCCCTAGAGTACAAAGACATGTGGTACAGGTGAATTGGGTACCCTAAATTGTCTGTAGTGCATGAGTGTGTGTGTGGATGTTTCCCAGAGATAGGTTGCAGCTGGAAGGGCATCCGCTGCGTAGAAAGGGGCTGAATGAGTCCATTCCGCTGTGGCGACCCTAGATTAATAAAAGGACTAAGTCGAAAAAGAAAATGAATGAATGAATGAATGAATGAATGAATGAATGTGCATGTAAACAGTCACAAGCACCAACCCTACAAAAAAGGAGTACACTGATTTTGATGACAGCCTTTTCACAGGATAAGCTAATGTAATGTTAATAGCAAATTTTAAATTCACGCTAACAAACAAATGATCAAAAGAAATATATTAATTTAATTCAAATATATAAAATATGAGTTGATGTATACTTTAATTATGTTGTTCAATTAAAATGATTCAAATATTTTTTTTTGTCAAATAAAAGATTGTTGTTGAGTTGTCCACCATAATTTTGTGGCTCAAGTGTGTCAGTTCTGGCCCCGTTTTCGCACCGGTACCGTTTTAAAAGTATTGATTCAGCACCGGTATTGAAATAACCCCAAACGATTCCCAACCCTTGTCCTAATTGGCTGTAGACCATTGTCAACTTATCTCTTTTATGCCGTGTCTCCTGTACAGTACAGAATGTGTTCATCTTTCCAACTTTACATAAATCTTCGAACGCTAGCCGCGTGACTCTGAAGTGCTGGACTGTATGATAGCAGGTTTTCTCCTCAAAAAACTCCAAAGGGCAGTGAAAGATGCTACCCATCACACAAAAAGTTCTGGACATACTAAAGAAAGGTAGAAGTTACGCAGCTGTAGGGCGCCATTACGGAATAAATGCATTCAGTTTTACAGCCTTAAAACATCTATAGTAATTAAAAAATAAAGCTGAGTACTTTGTGGGTTTCATCCCTTATTTTTAGAAAGTAACTCCTGCAATAAATGAGGGATCACTGTACATTTATTTTTTGCTTTTGTGTTTTTTAAATGTCTTTTTAAAATTTTTTTTGTTTCAATTCAGATTTCAATTGGTCAATCAATAAAACGCTTTTGATTTAGATTAAACTCTCTTTAATGTCTCAGAGTCTAAACTTGTCAAATATGTTCTGTCTTTTTCTGCTAGCTCCAAGATCTATGGAGATGGAAACGCAGTCCAGCGCATTTTAAAGTTCCTGCAGACCATCGACCTCTCAGAGCCTCTGCAGAAGAAGTTCTGTTTTCCTCCAGTGAAGGAGTGCATCTCGCAAGACATCGACCACATTTTGGAGACCCAGAGCGCACTTTCTGTCGACCTGGGCGGAACAAACCTGCGTGTCGGCATCGTCAGCATGAAGGTACACAGAGGCACATATGATATGATGATATCATAATTCACCCGTAAAAGTGCAGACGTGAACTCTGAGATGTGGGCCCTTCTCAACATCTGTGTTTGCTTATGCCAGGATGTGAGTGTTTGCCTGAATGTGACGTGCGCGCGTGTGTGTGTGTGTGTGTGTGTGTGTGTGTGTGTGTGTGTGTGTGTGTGTGCTTTTTTAATGTAGCAGGATATGTCAATATTTCAATCGTTTGACATAAAGCAAACTGCACGTTTGATCAGAATGGTTGTGTAATCGGCAAACAAGATTTTTTGACTGCAAACTGACGGAAAAGCCATTTGATGCGCTTCACTTTTAATATTTGCTGATGGATGAAGCATTGGCCAATCTTAATGCATACATTTGGACTGATTTTTAGGCCTGCACGATATTGAAAAAATATCTGCAAACATTTTATGGTATTTTTATGCTTTAGAAGCAACAAAAACTTACATACAGCAGCTTTAAAATGTATTGACGATGTGCTTTTGTGTTTCAGGGTAAAGTGGTCAAGAAGTACGTACAGTTAAATCCCAAGACGTTTGAGGAGAGGATAGAGCTGATTCTGACCATGTGTAAACAGGCCATGGCAGATGCCGTTCACCTTAACTGCAGGATCCTGGGTGTGGGTATGTCTGCTCTTCTCCATGCTTTAAACTTTTGTTTAAGAAGTAAACAGATGATCCATTCCTCCCTCATAGATCAGACCTATCATCAATGGTTACGTTAAACAAGTGGCAAAAGGAATGGGATACATGGAAGAAAATTAAATTGTATGAAGTTCACTCTGAAATTTTAAACCCATATTAAAACCTTTTAAGATGCGATTTGATTAGGTGATTTTTACCAGATGTCATATTGAACAGTTAGTGTAATTTTTTTTAAAGTGAAGACTCTTCTCAATGTTTGTTCTGCTATATTCCTCCTCCTGTAAAAGTATTGTTTGTGGACTGTTCCGATTTTTACTGCAGACGTTTTTTTAATGAAATGAACTCATTTGGAGAGATATTCATCAAGTATTCTGTCTATCATACATTTACGTTAAAAACCCTATTTAAATTTATGTATTTATTTTTCTTTGGATTTTATTGTGTTTATTTTTAATTAACTGTTTTTATCATTGTATTTTTTTGTCTATCTACTTGCATTATGTGTTATTTGTTTGTAAACGGCATGTAACATGCTGCTATGCAAGAAAAATAGAAGTCTATGAATAAAGTTGTATCGTATTGTATTGTAAAATAGCTGTATTGTATCATATCGTAAAATAGCCGTATTGTATCATATCGTAAAATAGCTGTATTGTATTGTATCATTTCGTATTGTATCGTAAAATAGCCATATTGTATTGTATTGTATCGTAAAGTAGCTGTATTGTAAAGTAAAATAGCCGTATTGTATTGTATCATAAAATAACCATATTGTGTTGTATCCTATCGTAAAATAGCTGTATTGTATCATATAATGAAATAGCCATATGGAATTGTATAGTATCGTAAAATAGCTGTATTGCATCATATCGTAAAATAGCTATATTGTATGGTATCGTAAAATAGTTGTGCTCTATTGTATCGTAAAATTGCTGTATTGTATCGTATCGTAAAATAGCTGTATTGTATCGTAAAATAGCTGTATTCTATCCTATTGTAAAATAGCTGTAGTGTATTGTATTGCAAAATATCTGTATTGTATTGTATCATAAAATAGCCATATTTTATTATCGTTAGATATCTGTAATGTATTGTGTCATAAAATAGCTGTATTGTACCGCATTGTAAAATAGCTGTATTGTATAATATTGTAAAATAGCTGTATTGTATCGCATTGTAAAATAGCTGTATTGTATCATATTGTAAAATAGCTGTAGTGCATCGTATCATAAAATAGTCGTATTATATCAGAAAATAGCTGTATTGTATTGTATCAGAATATAGCCATTTTGTAGTGTATCGTATCATAAAGTAGCTGTGTTGTATTGTATCTGAAAATAGCTCTATTGTATTGTATAATAAAATAGCTATATCGTATCCTATCTGTCGATATATTCGCTCTCTCATTAATGCAGTGTTTTTTTTGTCTCTGTTTCAGGTGTGAGCACAGGGGGCCGTGTGAACCCTCAGGATGGTGTCGTTCTTCACTCCACCAAGCTAATAAAGGAGTGGAGTTCGGTGGACATCCGCACGCCCCTCTCCAGTGCCCTGCATCTACCCGTGTGGGTCGATAATGATGGGAACTGCGCTGCTCTGGCTGAGAGGAAGTTTGGCCATGGCAAAGGCGTGGAGAACTTTGTTACCATTATCACTGGAACCGGTTCGTTCCCTTTTTAAGCTCTACTTTTTATGCATCGTTGCACAGAAAAAAAACATGAGTGACAGTGGATTTAAAGTTATACCACAATCATCCAAGCTTAACTTTTTGTCAAGCAGGCACGCAACCTGTCTGTCATTTTCTTTTTGGCATCCATGTATTTATGTATCTGTATGTATTAATTTAAAAGTCAAATGAGAATCTACTGCTATAGAAAAATTGAGAGTCCACTTTCAGTTTCTTTGGATTTATGCATTTGAGTACAATATTAATATTTGTTTAATTATACATAGGTTTGATAACATTTTGTCTACATTTCAGATAAAGATATTGTCCAAAAAGAATAGTTGATCAGAATAACAGTTTTTTTATTTGTTGTGACTGAAGATTTACAAGGTTTTCCCACTAAATATTGTTGGTAATAAAAATTATCTGAACACCTTAAATTATTTTAAGCCAAACCAATGCTCTGCATGACATTTTTATTTTAAATAAAAGTATATAGGTATAGAGTTGAAGTCAGAATTATTTTTTATGTTTTCCCCAATTTCTGTTTAACCGAGAGAACACACTTCTTAACAATAATTTTAAAGACTCATCTCTAATAACTGGTTCATTTTATCTTTGCCATGATGAGAGAAAATAAAATTTGGCTAGATATTTTTCAAGACACTTCTTTACAGCTTAAAGGGACAATTAAATGCTTAACTAGGATAATTAGGTTAACTACGCAGGTTAGTGTGTGTGTGTGTGTGTGTGTGTGTGTGTGTGTGTGTGTGTGTGTGTGTGTGTGTGTTTACATCAAATTATTTTAATTATTATTTATATTTATTTGAATTTTTTATTTTTAAATATTTGTATTTTAATTTTTTTATATTTATTTATATTTTTGTTATTTTCTTTATTTCTTCATTCATTTTTTTGTTTATTATTTTGTTTATTTTATTTCTTTCTTTGTTTTTTTTGAAGAAATGTCATTAGTAGTTTGCACAATAAAACAAATGATGTTTTACTCAAACAAATAACTTTATACATTGTAAATCTGAAATGGGACTCTTATTTTATTTTTTTCTAGATCAGCACACTTCCAATTCCAGTGATCTAAAGTTACAGTAAAATTATTTCAAAATTAAAGGAGATTACTGATTTTAAAGCGTTCCTATAAACTTTATTTTTGGGAATATAGTATTAAAAATATTAATGAGAACAACTGTTTTGAGCATTGATTATAATGAGAAATAAATATAAAAAATGTTAGCTGCCATAGGAATAAATTGGGCTTTTAAACGTATCTCACTAGAAAATATTTATTCCCAATTCAATAAATGTATTTTTCTGTACTTTAAAAATATATGTTTTTTTTTATTCTGTGTATCTTAAATCTTACAAAAAGCAACTTATTACATGTATTTTTTAAGTTATTTCTTTCTAAATAATTACCTAAATGTTATCCCAGTGCTAAGTTGCAAAGTTTTATAAGAGACTTTTATAGAACAACTATTTTGCCTTACACGAACAGTCAAACAGTGACTGAATCCTATCAATAAAAATGTCAATAATAATAATAATAATAATGGATCAATAATGCTAATGCACAACTGTTTTCCAACATTTCCAATATAAGAAAAATTATATAGTACGTCAAAGGTACTTTATCTTTATAATTTGATAATTATATAATTGATATATGTGTGTAAACAGCATTCATGAAATACAGGTTTCTTACATTGGGAACCTTCAGATTTCTTAATTGTCCTAATAAATCAAGATGAAAGCTGATGGAATTGTGGTTATTTGATGTAATAAGCTAATTCTGCTATTCTTTGTGTCTTTTATATGCAGGTATTGGAGGTGGTATAATCCAGCATAATGAGCTGATCCATGGCAACACATTTTGCGCAGCTGAACTGGGACACATCGTGGTGTCGCTGGAAGGACCAGAATGCATGTGTGGAGGCCACGGCTGCATAGAGGCCTATTCATCAGGTCTCGCTCTGCAGAGAGAAGCCAAGAGACTCCATGACGGTAAGAAAACGAACAAAGAGAAAAAAAAACACAAAGCCGAATGACTTCTTACCAGCCTCAATCACTCAGGTGTGTAGGTAGGTAAAAATCAACTTCCTGTTAAGTTCAATTCTATTAGTTGTTTTAAAACTTACCTGAATAGAATAAACACTGTAACATGATTTTTACAGCTTCTATAAGCAGAAATCACTGTGAATCTCTAATGTGCTGGCAAACAAAAGGAGTCTGTGTTTTAATGACACTTTTTTTGGCTTTGCTGACAGAGGACTTGCTGCTGGTGGAGGGAATGACTCTGAATAACAAAGAACAGGTGAACGCCATTCATCTGATCAACGCTGCTCGACTCGGCAACTCCAAAGCAGAGACTGTCCTTCACACCGGTGAGATCTTTCATATACACGTCATTCTCACACACATCTGAGCTGAGTTGTCACAATGCTGTATCCTATACCTTAGTACGCCCAAGTCGGGTGTAATCAAAATTTATAATGTTTATTTTGCTAGCTCACATTGTTATTCTTAATGTGGACCTATTACACAAAAGACTATTTAATAAGGGCTTTATACACAGCTGTGTGTCAGAAGTCTGTAAATATAATTAGCTTTTATAATCACACTTCATAAAAACTGTACAAAAACAGAAACACTTTGACTGACATTTCTGCATAAGTCTTTAGTCTTGTTTTTGAATCTGCCACTATGTTGACACATAGGCATTTGTAGCTCCGCCTTCTTTTGAAGGGAGCACAATCTCATTTGAATTTTAAAGCTACAGTCACCAAACTGGTGCAATTTGGGTCAAAGCCTAAAAGTGGCTTTAAAAAAAGTTATAAAACATTATTTGTTTGATATTTTGAGCTAAACTTTTACCTACATGCTCTAAATCAGAGACTTAAATCTGGAAACCAGAGACTTATTGTGCATCTTCTAAAAAGAGGCATAACTGGTCTCCTTTATTAGTCCATTTAAGTTAATCCACTGAAAATATTTATTTGTTTTGGTTCGGGATGTCCTGATCAGGGTTTTTTGAGTGTTTGCCGATACAGAAACCCAACCCGATACTTCTATAATACATAAAAAAAAGAATAAGGAAGAGTATAATACATATTAATAAGAGAATAAATACAGGATGCTCCTTATTTTTTATTTAATTGACCTTATTTTACCATTCAACAACTCTGTTAACAAACAGCACTTCTGTGAGGTAGCTTGAGCAATCAAGTCATAAATAACATCAATTCTTCACTTTTGGACTTTAGTGCAACAGTAAATATAAAAACTAATACCTCCTCAACTTAAAACACCCGGCAGGCAATCCTAAGTTTACATGCTCACGCTTCCTGCTTCAAGCTGCTTTCGTGTTCTACTTTGCCAGAATTTAACCAATAGCGTCTCTAAAACAGAGTGATGTCATGCCGCACATGTTTTTGTTTCAGTGTGAAGTCGAGAAAGAGGTCTAACTCTGTACCACAGCATAACTACAGATGAATATTTATATATGAATAAATATTTGAGTCTTGATCGGGAGGTAACATCCGATTCCGATCAAGTCTTAAACCGTGGATCAGGCCCGATTTCCGATCACGTGATTGGATCTGGACATCCCTAGTTTTGGTACTCTTCAATCAAAGTGTGACCCTTGGCTTCCACTTTGGAGTGGTGGTCCTTCTGTTGGCATTAACCTAAGGGTTTCCATAGCAACGACATATAAATAAATACCCTCTCTTACCATTAGTTTTCAATGAGGGATGAAGTTCAAGAGAAAACCCTGTACCCTACTCTGTATTCCCTTTCTTTTGGAAGTACATCAACATGATGAAATAATAGTTTCAGCAACTTCCACTTCATGCTGACATTAAAGGGCATCTATGATGAAAAGCATCTTCTGTAAGCTGTTTGGACAGAACTGTGTGTAGTTACAGTGTGTCCACAGTCATATTGGGGTGAAATAAAGACAATAAGTGGCTTTTTTTAATTTCCTGCCATTAAAATAGGATCCAAATCCCTCCCATTTTGAGGCCCACTGCAACAGGACGTAGGGGTGCGGTTTCCTCACCCACTGAATTGATTGGCAGCCGCGTATTAACATGTCTCTGTAGTAACGACTTTAATCATATCAACAGGACAGGACGTGCACAAAGCAGCTGTGATTAAAAGATCTGTTAAAAAATGAGTTTTACAAGTTTAAAACATTTTTAAACCAGTGCAAGTTCGTAATAAAGTAAGTTAAAGACGATAAACTTGATGTAATTCATCAGCACAGCCGCACGTCAGGACAATTATAAAAAGACGCTTCAATCCCGGTTTGTAAATGGTAAATCAGGGTTATTTTGTACATTAACATAACGAATGTTCATATAGCAGTGGAAATAAAATGTGTCCTGTCACATTTGCCGTGCAAAAACATAAGTTAACTGAGTGTGTGTGTGTGTGTGTGTGTGTGTGTGAACTTTGTTACGGCATTGTGTGTGATTCATCGTTGCAGAAAGGCTTGAACTAACTCCACAACAAATACATCAAATAATCATTGGGAAAATACTTACTGTAGTATTTCTCTCAAACGTTACTTGAAATCTGCTTCCTTCATGTCTGTCACTGTGCTGTTTATCTGACGCAGACAGAGATTGAGGTAGAGGTCTGCATTCTCGCAGAAACCGTGGGACCCGACCAGATTTCTTGCAGCATGGGAATAAATTTTCGAATAAATCGCAGGAGTGGTCGGTAACTTGTGTAATTTGAACGGGAGCGGGCGGTCTAACAATATCGCTGCTGACTCCAGAGCGAGCGAGCACGCATTTGTTTGTGTGTGAATGAGAGAGCGCGATGCTGTGTGTAGCTTGTTTGTTGCTGTCTTATGTGTGTGCGTCTGTGTGTGAATGAGAGAAAGAGAGAGCTTGGTGCCGTGTATGTGTGTGAATGAGTGAGAGTGTGATGCTGTTTGTGTGTCGCTTGCTTGGTGATGTGTGTTACGCAGATCGCTAGATTGAGGCATACTCTGACAGGCACGTGGGAATGGTGGGGCGGGGAGAGCTAGCATTAAAGGCACAGGCAACAAAAACAGCTACGTAGAGTTCAAAGCAGAAAATCCAATAATCTAAAAGGTCTAATAAATAATCTGATGGGTGAGCTGAAACTTTACAGACACTCTGGAGACACAAAAGACTGATCTTAAATCTTGAAAAAGAGGGAAAATAGACGCCCTTTAAAGAATAATGATATTCAGAATCATTGCTACAGCATTCATTGAAATCAAAATTGATCTATTGAACGACCGCCCTAGTATCAATACACATCAAACCTTCATCACTTTTGAAACAGTGCTTTAATCCATCTTCTCTTATCTTTCCCCACAGCGGGTACAGCTTTGGGTTTGGGCATCGTGAACATCCTGCACATGATCAACCCGTCTCTGGTCATTCTGTCTGGGGTTCTGGCGGTGCATTATGAGACTCCGGTCCGCCAGGTGATCGGCCAGCGGGCACTGCTCACCGCACAGGGGACCAAAGTCATGGTGTCCGACCTGGAGGACCCAGCGCTGCTAGGAGCCGCTAGTATGGTGCTGGATTACACCACCCGCAGAACTTACTGAAATATCACTCACAGACTCAAAGAACCAAGGCCAATCATGTGCAGCATCCTTGCTCTGAAGGTTTTTTTAAAATGTGTAGTTATTTCTGTAGGTGCTGTTTGCGAATAACTTTTAATAAAAAAATAAAATAAAAGTTTACATTTACATAATAATTTTGTGTGTATAAGCTATATTTATTATGTATATGTAAATACACACGTGCATCTATACATGTTTGTAGATGTATAGAAAATGCTTATTTATATTAATATATACAATATTTATATATAACATATATTTATATATGTCATTTCATGTAAATATTTTTAAGTTATATATGTGTGTGTGCATTAATACATATATAAATATACACCGTTATGTAAATGCAAACTTTTATTTTTGTTTTTTGTCTCGGTTAATTTTTAAACAGCACTAGTACTTTTATTATTTGGGAACAAGTATTGAAGGATAAATTAAATTTTTGTGAGAAAGCTCTTATTTAATGTTTGTATAAAGGAAAACACACTCTGTGTCTTGCTTTGGTTTTTTTTTGTTTTTTTTAATTGTTTTTAGAAATTGTACCATGTAAAATGTTGGTAAAATTATGGCTTATTTGTTGCCAAGCCTTTTTTGTCTTCCAGAATTATGTTCAACTATATTAAATTAAACATGTTTGAGTTTAGTTTTCGCTTTGAACAAAATAAGGTCCTTTATCATAGTATTTTTATTTTACTATGGATTTCATCTTTTTAAATCTCATATAAAGTTTTTGAACATCTCGAGGATGACTAAACGCTTAGTACATTTTCATTTTTGGTTGAACAATGCCTTTAAAGACACTCAGCTGTATGAATGGGAAAAATGTCTGTCCACTGTGTTTTCCTTAATTTAATATTTAAAATCATGTACAAACATTTATATTAAAACCAATGAGAACACTGTTACCTTTTATTGCCAATGAATTTATTTAATATATTAAGAGTTCAGTTGTAAACCTATTGAATATACGTGGGCCAAAGATGAGATGCTTCATTATGGTTTCCACATCAAATGCAATTGTTTTATATACACTGAAAGCTTAGTAAATGGAGGTAGAAATTATTTTGTAAAAATTAAATGTCAAATGTATGAAAAAAATTATCTTCCATTGTCATTTAGTGTCTCACTTATGCTTTTGGAAATGTGTAAAAGAATAATTAATCGTATATAATGTTGTTATATTGGAAAAGCTTGTTAACACTTGGGTAAAGCCTTGTGGTTTGAAGGATTGTGGAAAATATAAAGAATTAAAATGACATTTATTCAGATTTTAGGGCCACACTGTGTGATTCTTTTAATATATACTCTCACCGGCCACTTTATTAGGTACACCTTACTTGTACCAGGTTGGACCCTCTTTTTCCTTCAGAAATGCCTTAATCCTTTATTGCATATATTCTACTAGGTACTGAAAATATTCCTCAGTGATTTTGGTCCATATTGACATGATAGCATTACACTGTTGCTTCAGATTTCATGATGTGGATCTCCCGTTCCACCACATCCCAAAGGTGCTCTATTGGATTGAGCTCTGGTGACGGTGGAGGCCACAGAATTGCCGCTCACTGGATATTTTTTCTTTTTTTCCTCCCATTCTCTGTAAACCCTATAGATGGTTGTGGGTGAAAATCCCAGTAGATCAACAGTTTCTGAAATGCTCAGACCAGCCCATCTGGCACCAACAACCATTCATCATTCAAAGTCACTTAAATCACCTTTCTTCCCATTTCTGATGCTTGGTTTGAACTGCAGCAGATGGTCTTGACCATGTCTACATGCCTAAATGCATTGAGTTGCTGTCATGTAAATGGCTGATTAGAAATTTGCATTTATGAGCAGTTGGAGAGGTGTACCTAATAAAGTGGCTGGGGAGTGTAGAGTAAAATTATTCTTGTTTTAATCATGCCAGACAGTATTTTATTAAAAATAATAATAATAATTTATTTATTTGTAATTTTGTAAATATAAACTATTAAAACTTATATAAACCATTGAAATACCAAATTATATTTCAGAGGGTTCTCAGGATACTATTGATATTATTACAATAAATCACCTTCTATTATATAGAACAAATAAATAAATACATACATTTTTGGACTTTAAATAATTTCATAATTAAAACACATTTTCACATTCTTTTGACCTTGGTGTGTGCATATAAATTATTTAAGAAAATTATGATTTCAGACTTAGTAGTACTGTCTTCCACACTGTTTACTATTATAGCTTTCTCATTTTTACCCTTAAATCATTTTTAAATAAATAAAACTTTGAAAAGCTCAGGGCTTTGTTTATGATTTACAGTCATTTTTATTTTCCAAACATTATTCTGCATAAAGAAACAATATACATCACTGAAATGTGTATTTCAGGTGACTGAGAGCCACAAAACCTTATTTCATGTGTCATTTGATTTAAAAACTCCTTGAATATTTAGTAAATAAAAAGTAATATAATAAATGTAAGAAAATAAAAGTAACTATAATGAATGGTCTTTTATTTTGAAACGCAATAAACCCGGAAGCTCGAGTCACTACTTCAACTCGGCGTTTGACGCGTGTAGTAGTCAAAAAGGAGTGTGACTGTCTGTTGACTCCTCGATTTTCTGTAGCTTTTCTTGTCGTGTTTGTGCATTTAGTTGTAAAAATGCCACTTAAATTTGAATTATGTCCCGGCCGCATGATCGGAGGAAACAATCCGTGCTTCATTATTGCAGAAATCGGACAGAATCATCAGGGAGACATTGAGATTGCCAAGAAAATGATCAAAATGGCAAAGGTGAGAGTTTTTTTTTTTTTTACATTTATAAACCGTGATGCATCATATCTGCTTATTTCTGTAAGTCTACAAGGGTTTAGCAGAATGTATTGCGTTGTTTAGTCTGTATTTGTAAGTTAATAGTGAGTTTTAAAGTGCTCGACAGGTCCATAGAGACTGCTTAATATAATACTGACATTTAATAAATACTTCAAATGGTCATTCAAAACATATTAAGATAAAGTTTTTATATTCGCACATTCTTTGTGCTTTTTACAATGGTAACGTTACTTTGAATATTCGAACTGAAATCACATGTAAATATGATTTCAGAACAACATTAGCACTGTTTAATTGAATGTGAACAATGTACTTTGATTGTCACTAGCTGCTAATATGATTTCACAATTAGGAATTTGCAAAGAATACTTTTCTAAAATCATATTATCAAGGAGAAAGTCTGAATGTGTGAATATAAAACAAAATTTACCTCAATCCAAAACATGATTTACCAGAGTATTTTTTGACATTTACGTTACTATATTATAACTCTTACAATAAAGGCGTTTAGTTAGACTAAAATCTCTAAGCAATATTTCCAGTACCTTGTTAAACCTATGCCACAAAGGATTGAGGCAGTTCTGAAGGCAAAAAGTGGTTCAACCCAGTACTAGTAAGGTGTACCTAATAAAGTGGCCGGTGAGTGTTTATATAAAATGTATTAGTTTAATATTTTTTTCTATTCGGGAGAAAATTATTTCACATAAAAATAGTTATTTTAACCTGCAATAATGACCGTTGTATTGTATGTTTAATCGAATGAGAGTGATCTTAAAGGGGTACAGCACTATTCACTTCAAGGGGATCCTTTTTATTCTGATGAACACAAAATAAGATATTTAGTAGAAAACTGAAAACATGTAACTATTGCTTGTTACAGGTTTCCAGCTTTCTTCAAGTTGTCTTTTTTGTGCTTAACAGAAGAAAGTTAGTCGAAAAGGTTTGGAACAAGGGTGAATAAAGGGTGATTATTTTTCAGCTTCCGGTAAATTATCCCTTTATCTATCCCAAATACAGCTATGCCTAATTTCAAAACTCTGGTACTATTAATTGTGTGAAAAAAGACAGATGATTACTTTTTTTTTTTTTTTTTTTTAAATGCATGATTATTCATTCATTTTCTTTTCAGCTTAGTCCCTTTATTAATCTGGGGTCGCCACAGCGGAATGAACCGCCAACTTATCCAGCACATGTTTTACGCAGCGGATGCCCTTCCAGCTGCAGCCCATCTCTGGCAATCATCCATACACACTCATTCACACTCGTACACTATGGACCATTTAGCCTACGCAATTCACCTGTACCGCATGTCTTTGGACGGTGGGAACCGGAGCACCCAGAGGAAACCCACACGAATGTGGGGAGAACATGCATACTCAACACAGAAATGCCAACTGACCCAGCCGAAGCTCAAACCAGCGACCTTCTTGCTTTGAGGCGACAGCACTACCTACTGCGCCACCACGTCACCCTTTATGCATAATTAATTAAATAAAAAAATACTTATTAATTATTTTTTATTAGTTATCTGTCACCAATATATTTAAGGATTGTTTAAAGCAGGGGTCTCAAACTCAATTTACCTGGGGGCCGCAGGAGGCAAAGTCTGGGTGAGGCTGGGCCGCATAAGGGATTTCACAAAAAAAAAAAAAGTCCTCAAATGTCATTATCAACAGTTTTAATTATTTCTTCTGAACATGAAGTGTCCTGAACATTAATAAAACATTGAGTGAAGATTATGAACAGTTCTTCTGAACATGGCATCTTTTGCCTACTCCTTGCTGCCAGAGACTTGACAGCGCTTCTTCTCACAAATCTGAACCATATTTGGCTTTAGAGCGGAAGCAGTTGAGACCCTCAGTATGGCTTGAAGATGATCATCAAGTCTAAACCTGTACTTTGACTTATTGAAGTTCAAGGTGGAGAATAACTTCTCACACACTTCTCACACACTCAAAACTTCCATTCCCTCACCTAAAAAAAAAAGGCGTATATATGTATAAATAAAACACCCCCACCCCACTCCAGTCACATCAGTCTGTACCAGTCTGTATCTACCTATAATATATATAAGATGCAGGCTGTAGCTAGGTAGGTGGCAGGCTGCAGATAGGTAGCTAAGTGGCAGGCAGGGGCAGCTTACCTTGGTTCTGGCCGGCGCGAGTTCCCTCCTAACACTTCCCGCCCGTCACAGCGTCTAACAAAGGGGCGTGGTGACGTCACCGGCATCCCCGCCCCTTTGTTTACACGGCGGGCGGGGAATGCCAGTGACCGCTGTGTACGGATAGAATCAGCGGAGCGGGGAGCGCTCTCTCTCTCCCCGCTCCGCTGATTCTGTCAGTGTACAGCGGTCGGTGCGGGCCACAAAATATTGCACTGAGAGCCGCAAATGGCCCGCGGGCCGCAAGTTTGAGACCCCTGGTTTAAAGGCTTTATTTTATATATTGTTCTGTGTGTATCTATGTTTCTGTTTGTGTATTTGTTCCCCTCTTCTGCTAGGACTGTGGTGCGGACTGTGCAAAGTTTCAGAAGAGTGAGCTGGAGTATAAATTCAATAAGAAAGCTCTTGAACGGCCATACACCTCAAAACACTCCTGGGGGAAAACATACGGAGAGCATAAGCGACACCTGGAGTTCAGTCATGAGCAGTACAGGGAGCTGCAGCAGTACGCTAAACAAGTGGGCATCTTCTTCACTGCGTCTGGAATGGACGAGGTGAGCCCCTTGCTGACATACTAAGCCAGAATAGACCACTATATATATATATATATATATATATATATATATATATATATATATATATATATATATATATATATATATATTTATTTATTTTTTGCTTCAGAATTGCTGTTAAGTGGGAAAGAAGACTTTAGACTCTATTTCGAACATGTAAACATAAATAACTACAATAAAAAAAAACAAAGCAAAATAATTCAGCACAATACAATTTTTGCTCATCCATGACCAAAAAGAAATGAAAAGGATCAAATGCTGTTTAATCCCTCCCCTTCTCCAATCTACATCAAATTATAAATAAAAATCCATAACAATTAATAACTATCCATGATAATCAGCAAATTTACTCCATGATTCTGTCATCTCTTATTCTGATACACTTTTGTGGTGTAGGGAAAAAGGAATTTATTTTTATTACTTTTGTGTCTTTATTTTTTATTAGAAAAAAGTTTAGACTAACAACAGATTAATCAATCTTTTCTATTGTATTATAACACATCTTGACCAGACACACTTCCTCTTTTTTACTGTGCTGCTCACTTTTTAGAAGAACTGCTGACTAGTGGAAAAAGCAGAATAAGAATAAATTTAGGTTTGTTCCAGACTGCTGTCTGGACATGTCTCAAGGAGCATGATCTTTTTAGAAGTTATAAAATATATTAAAGATGCACGTAATTGTTCAGTTCTGGTATGCAGAGAAGGGTTGCAGAAAGAGGAAGTATGTCTAGGGGTTACAAAGAGCCAAGGGACCTGCAGAATGACTGATCAGTGATGTTAAACCAAAACTCCACCTGTTATTATCAGTTGTGTATATATGCTGGATTCAGGAAATGTAAGTTTACATTTACATTTAGTCATTTAGCAGACGCTTTTATCCAAAGTGACTTACAAATGAGGACAAGGAAGCAATTTACACAACTAAGAGCAACAATGAATAAGTACTAAAGGCAAGTTTCAGGTCTGTAAAGTTAGTTGCAAACCTCCTGAAGGTAATTCTTGTATTGCATTGGGGTAACGTAACCCAGAGCTCTGTCATCGAATTATTCATTTGTATCTAATAAATTACTAATATTTTTGGCATTGAAGAAAACGCTCTCCAGACCTATTGAACACGCATGGAATTGGCTTGATATTCCAACAGTGATATTGATATTCCATCAATCAAATCTGTTCTTCTATATAGATTCTGAAGATCATATATTCTGTGGTTCCACAATTTCATTCCACACACAGAGATGCAGAAACATCTTAATGTTGCACGAACATTATTATGGAGTCTGAAGGGTCTCAATAATAATTAACGCAAAAGACACTATGTGCATGTGTAGCCAAGTTCGCATGCATAAAATCTAATTCGCGTGCAAAATTTATATACACACACACACGTGTGTGTGTGTGTGTGTGTATATATATATATATATATATATATATATATATATATATATATACATACTAGCAAGTTCATCCTGATTAAATATGTGCAAGTCGTCTTTTGTCAAATTGGTTTTCTGTGTGCATTTGCGCGTTGGTTTGCACAATGGTTGGTTGGTTCATTCGTTCGTTTGTTGGTTGGTGGTTTGGTTCATTTGTTGGTTCGTTCGCTCGTACGTTTATTGGTTGGTTGTTTGGTTCATCGGTTGGTTGGTGGTTTGGTTCATTGGTTGTTTGGTTCATTTGTTGGTTAATTCGCTTGTACGTTCATTGTTTGGTTTGTTTGTTGGTTGTTTGGTTCATGGTTGGTTGGTGGTTTGGTTCGTTTTTTGGTTCGTTAGCTCGTACGTTGGTTGTCTAGTTCGTTGGTTGGTTTGTTGTTTGGTTTGTTCGCTTGTACGCTGATTGGTTGTTTGTTCGCTCGTACGTTTGTTGGTTGGTTGTTTTGTTTTTTTTGTTTTGTGCATGTGAATTTGGCTACATTGTGTCTTGCATGAACCATTATTGAGATCCTTCTGACTCCATGTGTTACACTTTTAAAATAATATATATTTTCTCCACTAATATATAGTTTTGAATATGAACAATTCTTTATGATCATTTGATCTTTAATTTGGTGTAGTCATCTCACACTATTAATAGGTGTTTAGAAAGTCTTTATCCAACAGTGATGATGCTGACAAAACCTTGGATGTTAATTGTAGTATTTCTGTCTTTAAGATGGCTGTAGAATTCCTCCATGAACTCGATGTGCCTTTTTTCAAAGTTGGATCTGGCGACACCAACAACTTTCCTTACCTCAAGAAAACTGCCCAAAAAGGTCCAATATTTCCCTTTATACTAGCTTGCATCATTGGATGGAGTTGTGTTAGTAATTAACAAGGTTTCAATACTAATCAGTTTAGTGACAAATTCATAGAAAATACATTGTTAGTGTTTGTATATATAAAAATAGGTTACATGTAAAAATCTGTGCGTCAATAGACAACAAATTCAGTGTGTTTGAATTTTTATTTATTTATTTATTTTTAGAAGCATGACATTATGGCTAAAGAAGTCACATGAATAATTTGCTTTAGATATTACATGATTTACAGAAGACACCACCTATAATAGCATTCAGTGTAACAATAATTTATATATTCCCAACAATTGTGAGGAATAGAATAGTTAGAGCAAACTGTATTTAAGTATATATTACAAGACTGTAGAGCCCCAAAATAATAATTCATTGCAATTTATGTTTATACTTTTATACCACTAAAGAGTTTTCTTGTCTGCATAAAAAATATACTTAAATGTGATTTTTAAATTGTATATTTATTGGTACTGAACCAAATTTAACTTGCAATGCTTGTGTTTGATTTCAGGACGCCCCATGGTAGTGTCCAGCGGGATGCAGTCCATGGAAACCATGCAGAACGTTTATAAGATTGTGAAGGAGCACAATCAGAACTTTTGCATCCTGCAGTGCACAAGTGCATATCCACTTGAACCTGAGGACGTCAACCTGCGGGTTATCACGGTAATCAATCCAGCTCTTTTCTGTTTCCATTCAAATCCATTTTGTGTAGTAAAGCCACCAAATTGGCTATACAGTTTCTACTTTGTGACCTTTTCTAATGAGCTACTATTAAATAATAATTTGATTTGCTGGTGGGGTGACATGGTGGCTTCGTGGTTAGCACTGTCACCTCACTGCAAGAAGGCCACTAGTTCGAGTACCAGCTGTGCCAGTTGGCATTTCTGCGTGAAATTTGTATGTTCTCCCCGTGTTAGCCTGGGTTTCCTGCGGGTGCTTCGGTTTCCCCCACAATCCAAAGACATGCGCTATAAGTGAATTGGGTAAACTAAATTGGCTGTAGTGTATGAGTGCGTGTGTGAATGAGTAAATTGGTGTTTCCAAGTACTGCGTTGCAGCTGGAAGGGCATCTGCTGCATAAAAACACGTGCTGGAATAGTTAGCGGTTCATTCCGCTGTGGCGAACCCTGATAAATAAGAGAGTAAGCCAAAGAAAAATGAACGATTAACTAATGATTTATATATATATATATATGATTATATATATATATATGATTTATTTATATATATATATATATATAAGTAAACATTACGTAAAAATCTTGCCTAAATTTGAGTTAAATGATGTTAAATAAGCAAGTTATTCCCCAAACCTAACAGGAATATCAGAAAGAATTCCCAGACATTCCCATCGGTTACTCGGGTCATGAAAGTGGGATCAACATCACAGTCGGGGCAGTTGCTCTGGGAGCCAAAGTTGTGGAGCGGCACGTGACCCTGGATAAGAGCTGGAAAGGCAGTGATCATGCAGCGTCTCTGGAACCAGAAGAGCTGGCTGAGCTGGTGAGGTCCATCCGCATTGTGGAGAGAGCTTTGGGCACTGGACTGAAACGCATGCTGCCATGTGAGGTGCCATGCCATGATAAGGTACAGGTATTTTTCAAGGTATTTTTTTTTCTCATAAATGCAAAAAATGTCAAATAAAAAAATAAATTGCATTATTTCTATTGGGTTGTGCAGTTTAATATACAGAATTTCTACACAGAAGGTCACTTCCATAACAAATGTTTTTTTTTTTTTTTCTTCCACCTTTAGAATACATATTTTTTCCAGATTAATATTTTTCTGCTCCCTAACTCCCTTAGAATATAAACAGATGTTTCAATCTAATGTTAAAACATACCATCTCCCTGAATCTTATGTTCTGAATTTTTACTGCAAATGTCAAATGCATAATGCTGGAGTTGCTCAAATGTAACTTGAAAATTGAAGTTGAAGGAAGTTGGAAATTTATTTATTTTTTCCTCAGAATTGGAAGTACATATTTTCAATTGCAGCCTTTATCCATTCAAATTCAAACAGAAATGTAGCAAAAACTCTAGTAAGACAAGAATTGCGAGAAAGAGATTGCGAGAAAAATTCAGTCTCAATGTTTTTTTTTTTACTTTGTATTTTGTGACATTTCTTTGTAAGTTTCTAATTTAATATCTCAATTAATAATAAAAACACTATGCTAAAGACATAAATGAGTTAAAGGTGCAGTAGGTGATCTGCCAAAATGCTAACCGCTTAGCATATTGTCTTTGAACAACAGGGAGGGACCGACTCAAAGCCACGCCTCTTGAAATCGCGGATGCGCGCACCGCGTCACAACAGCAGACAACCCACTAGTTCTTGTCATTTGCCAGTTAGTTAGTGTTTGACTGGCGGCGTGCAGGAATTACATTTATTACTAAGCCATACTTGCATGCTATTTCAGAGCGAATATTCAGAGTAGCGGTAAACAGTATAGGAGGGCTGTCTTTGTTCAAAAATGAACCAATGTTAATAAAAAGCAACTTCAGCTCAAGAAAAGCAGGTTATGCGGAATAGCGCTGTTTACTGATGTTTTGTTAAACTGAATAAAAATTGACATTTATAGATGCTGTAAAAGGCCCTTCTAAAACGGAAAATAGTCACATCAGTCTTTCGCTGGGAGATTTCAGTGGCTGAACAACACTTCTATGCATGTGAGCAATTCATAACACAACACAATCTAACATAAGCTTAGCCTAAAAATAGGATCTGCGTGAACAGATGAGCAGAAGTCCGAATCTGCATTTGCTGACAGACAGTTTGAGCTACTTATTGGAATTATGAAAGATGTCGGCCCGACAATATTTAATTGGATAAACATTTTTTTTAGTTTTAAGCCTTACCCAGAATATAACGTGTCTTTAAGGACAATCACCTTTAATTTGCTAAATTTGTCTCTCTTTTTTTTTTTGTATATAGTTGTTTATTAGCATTTGCCTTTACATCCTCCTCCTGCATATTTTACAGCTCTGTTCTCTTTCTGTCTTGCGTTGCATTCCTTTTCCTATTTCCCTCCAAAACATCCTGTCATCCTGTCTTCACTTTCTTCTTTTTCCCATCAAATTCACCCATTCGTGACTCGTATCATACCCCATAACATTCCTTCCTCTGACATGTTTTTTTTTCTTCTTTTTCCATGTGTGTGTCTGGCATTTGTTGTATAGCACACTCACCATGTCTTTAAGATATCTGCTCCGTCTCTGACATTCCTATAATTCTTCTTCTCCATCTTTTGTTCCTCTTTAGCTCGGAAAGTCGGTGGTGGCAAAGACCTCCATTCCAAAAGGTACAGAACTCACCCTTGACATGCTGACAGTGAAAGTAGCTGAACCCAAGGGTGTAGCTCCAGAAGAAATCTTCCAGCTGGTGGGGAAGAAAGTGACCACAGATGTGGAGGAGGACGAGAGCATTACTGAAGATGTAGTCGACAGCTATGGCAAAAAAGCTAAAGCTTGAGGAAAGCATGTGATCCTTGATCAAACTGCAAAAAAAGGTTACATGTTTCAGTGCCCTGATTAAAATCAAGTTTTGTTTTTGAGGCAAAGACAAATTCTACAATACAACAAATACTGTGTATGAAGCCAGACTTGTTTATATAATGCATTATTTGCCAAATACTGTTGAATAAATAATGGATTATAAGACAATGGAAATCTGTCTCGTTTTGAAGATAAATACATAGGATGCTGTATTTAAAAAAAAAAGTGTATATACAGTGCTCAGCATAAATGAGTACACCACTCACTAATCTCTCTTTTAAATTAATATATTCTTTTGGAAAATATTTGAACACAATATATATATTTTATTTTGAAAAACATTTAAAATACTTTAGTGCAGTAAACACTAATTATTTAGTCAGGCTAAATATTTTAAATAAATCATTGCCTTCTGCTGTCTTCAATAGTTTAAAAAATACCATACAGATTTCTTTAATTTAAAACAGCATTTTTGGAGATCTTTTATACTGGAGATACTGTTGTCCTAAAACAATAGCAACAACAAAGTAAATTAAAGCTGCAAGCAGCGATGATAGGGACCTCGCACCCGGGCTCACCGCCGCCCGGTGGCATCAGGATGACAGAGAACAGCGAACAGTAATAATTTAAGCCGATATATTAAAAATATCTGAGAAAATCACAGATTTATGCCAAACTTCCTCCTGTCAGCAGGTGGCGCTATAACACTGACTCATGACTGGCATGTAGATGTCTTCAGGAGAGGAAACTTATCAACCATGTGAAGTTTTAGGCAGATCGGACATTGTTTGGCTGAGTTATAAGCCAAACTGCCTTTTTTCAGCAGGTGGCGCTATGACAGACTCAATGTTGTTATGTAGATGTGTTTAGGAGGGGACTTTCATCAACCTTGTGAAGTTTCAGGCAGATCGGACTTTGTGTGGTTGAGTTATACTGCAAACTACCATCTGCCAGCAGGTGGCGCTATAACTGTGACTTAAGATTGGCATGTAGATGCCTTCAGTAATGGAATTTAATCAACTATGTGAAGTTTCAGGCAGATCGGAGTTTGTGTGGTTGAGTTATAAGCCAATCTACCTTCTGCCAGCAGGTGGCGCTATGACTGATTCAATATTGTTATGTGGATGTGTTCAGAAGAGGACTTTTATCAATCATGTGAAGTTTCAGGCAGATCAGACATTGTGTGGTAGAGTTATAAGGACTTCCTGTTCCATGGCGAAGCGTTGAGGTTTGTCATGCCACCACGGACACGCCCCTCTGCAAAAACTCTAGATCTTCACAATATATCATCGCTAGAGCTTTCAGATGACACCACTCTATTTTGGTGCTGATACGGGAAAGTTTGTGGAAGGAGTTTGTTACAGTGTCAAACATGTCATTTCCTGTAGCCAGCAGGTGGGGCTATAACTGTAACTGGATATCGGCACGTAAACCTGTTCAGGTCAGGACTTTTATCAAACGTGTGAATTTTGAGGCAGATCTGATAATGCATGCCTGAGTTATAACGACTTCCTGTCTTGTGGCGGATCATCAACGTTTGCGAGGCCGCCACGGACACGCCCATCGACAAAAACTCTAAAGCTTCGCAATTTAACATCACCAAGGCCTTTAGATGACAAAACACAATTTTTATTGTCAATCAGATAAAATCCCTAGGAGGAGTTCGTTAAAATATAACGCCTAGAAATGGCAAAAGAGCCACTTTTTCGCCACAGGAAGTTAAAAATATACGACTTCCTGTTGAGTTTGAGATATGGCTCCAAGAGACTTTTTCGTATGTTTTGCCATGTTTGAGGTGTGTGCCAATTTTCGTGCATGTGCGTGATTTGTAGATCGGGGGCTCGTCCGTTTAATTTTTATAGGTGGCGCTGTTGAGTCGTTTTGCCACGCCCACTTCAATATTGTTATGTGGATGTGTTCAAGAGATGACGTTTATCAACCATGTGAAGCTTCAGGCTGATTGGACATTTTGTGGTTGAGTTACAAGGACTTCCTGTTCCATGGCGAAGCGTTGAGGTTTGTCATGCCGCCACGGACACGCCCCTCTGCGAAAACTCTAGATCTTCACAATATATCATCACCAGAGCTTTCAGATAACACCACCCAATTTTGGTGCTGATACGATAAAATTTGTGGATGGAGTTTGTTACTCCGTAAATCATGTCATTTCCTGTGGCCAGCAGGTGGCGCCATAACTGTCTCTGGATATTGGCATGTAAACGTGTTCAGGTCAGGACGCTTATCAAGCGTGTGAATTTTGAGGCAGATCGGATAATGCATGCCTGAGTTATAACGGCTTCCTGTTTCGTGGCGAATCGTCAAAGTTTGCGAGGCCGCCACGGACACGCCCATCGACGAAAACTCTAAAGCTTCGCAATTTAACATCATCAAGGCCTTTAGATGACAAAACCCAAATTTGGTGTCGATCGGATAAAATTCCTAGGAGGAGTTCGTTAAAATATAACGCCTGGAAATGGCAAAAACGCCACTTTTTCGCCGCAGGAAGTTAAAAATATCCGACTTCCTGTTGGGTTTGAGATATGGCTCCAAGAGACTTTTTCGTATGTTTTGGTGTGTTTGAGGTGTGTGCCAATTTTCGTGCGTGTGTGTGATTCATGGATCGGGGGCTCGTCCGTTTAATTTTTCTAGGTGGCGCTGTCGAGTCATTTTGCCACGCCCACTTCCGAAGCCCATAACAAACGTAAATTTTCGCCACTTCTGAGGCGTGTGCAAAGTTTCGTGAGTTTTCGGGCATGTTTAGCCCCTCTAAATCGCGATTCATTCCGCGGAAGAAGAAGAAGAAGAAGAAGAAGAAGAAGAAGAAGAATAATAAACAGAGCAATTCCAATAGGGCCTACGCACCGTTTCGGTGCTCGGTCCCTAATAAACAAATCGTACACACAACGGTATGGCAGAAAATTTTGGTGGTTTGAAAGCCTTGATTTTTCCAAATCGCAGTAAACCTTGAAATTAGTTATCGTCCCATGCAACCCCAACATATTTTCTGTTTTACATTTTTAATTTCTATAGCTTCCAAAGAGAATGCAAAAAGAGCCACATATTGATTTATAATGGTATGATAGCTGTTTTAACATTAAGTTAAGAATGAATTGCCTCTTGTTACAGTTATGAAATAGTTTGATAGCAAGCAGGAAATCTTCATGGGCCAATGACATGACCACACTGAAATGGTCTACAAACAAGAATTAACATATAAAAGGTACTCCAGAGATTTGTGTGTGTATCTGAATGTTTGTCTTTTTATCTATACAACAAAGCAGGCGTTTTCCTTTTACCCTGAAATGATAATTCTCACTGTCAGGTGACCTTGAAAAGATCCAGCATAAGTGTGTCTAAGATATTCTGTCAGTTTGTCATGATAAAGCCTATTTATATTCGTTAGATTGATACGTATGCAATTTCATTTTGCTGCAACGCCCTATCAGGGCACGCTGCTGGTCACGGGACTCGCGCAGCCACGGTTTAGTCATTTCATTGGCGGACGACTAAACTATTCGTCGTTTGTATGGACGACAAAAATGCCCGTCAAAAATAGACAACCCTGATTGGTTGAGCGGCCGTTTCCTTCGCGTCCGTTTTATCTTAAGTCCCTCCCCACTGACATTGGAGCCGTCGACGAGGAAGACAGTAGGGTGATTAGTGTTTTCGGTTGTTCTCCCTCTGAGCACATTCAGCAAGCCATGGACGATTTCGATATGCTCAGTGCCCCTCAAGGAAGCGCAGGGAACGGTGTCGGGGCAGACGAGGACCCGGCGGCGGCATTTCTGGCCCAGCAAGAGAGCGAGATCGCTGGCATCGAGAATGACGAGGGCTTCAGCATCCTGGACAGCGGAGATGTGCCTTCGTCCCTGAGCCAAGACCAGGACGGTGGGTTTACACGACATATTATTTGCACCACATCGATGATAAAGATTAAAAGCGTGCTTTATAGTCTTAAATGCGAACGTTTAGAAAAAACACCAAAACAAAGAACTCCTTTATTCGCTCATTAGCCAGCTAGCCTTCATCTATGAAGTGTCGCGCGTGCAGATAACACTGCCAAAACACCGTCAAAATAGCCGCTTAAATGTATTAATGCTTCACACTGGACTGGTTGTTAAAGTAAGCAGGAAAATGGCGTTATCTGTTGTTAAGTCAGTCAGTTATCTATAAGTATTCCAGTGGTAGACCTCTTATTAAACGGTTTAATCGTAATTTTATTAGGTTTTAAAACAGATGAATGTTCCATTGAAACCCATTTGCCGCTCTATGTTTTGATTGATTATTCCAGTATATGGTGGTATCAGCGAAATTCGACTTCCTTAAACGCTGATGCTTTTTTTATTATATAATGACCTTTGGACTGGAGGCTGTATTTGTGTGTTCAAGTTCATTACGCTAACGTTAGACCAGACATCCTTTAGATTATTGAGGTAAATTTCGGTTTTATTTTTGCACATTGGGACTTTCTCTTTGATATAATTTCAGAAAAGTATTGTATGCTAATTCTAAATATGCATATTTCATTCATTTTCTTTTCGGCTTAGTCCCTTTATTAATCTGGAGTCGCCACAGTGGAATGAACCACCAACTTATTCAGCATCTGTTTTTTTTACACAGAGGATGCCCTTCCAGCTGCAACTCATCACTGGGAAACATAATTCTAAATAGCGAAATTATATTAGGAGCCAATGACTCAGTTGTTCTGTCAAATAAGTAGTGTTAATGTTGTTTTGATGTCATACTTGCAAGTGATTTCAAGCAGAATATTCAAAGTATCATGGTAAACAATATTGAGGTAAAGTTGGTTTCATATTCGCACATTCGTTCAGTGACAACTCCCTAAATTGTCACATGTAAGTATGACTTCAAAACAGCATTAGCTCTACTTATTTGACTGTGAACAATGTTGTACTTTGAAAGTTATTGGATGCCAATATGATTTCACTATTAGGCTTTTGCAAATAATTATTTTCTAAAACTGTTATTAAGGTGAAAGTCCGAATGTGTGTGTATAAAACCCAATTTACCCTATTGTAAACAATATAGGGAGCATGTCACAAGCTGTCACTGAATGAATGTTAAAATATAAAACCAGCTTTACCTAAATTTTTGGATTTATATGACAAGCAAAGCGTGTTCATGTTTGCTCCTTAACTTTATTCAAAGGTTAAAGTTAGGGATGCTCTAATCAGGATTTTTGCAGCCGATACAGAGTACCGATTCTGTTGCTTTAAGCTTCATAATAATTAAGTGGGGATCTCTCCTTACCTGAGAGAATAAATTAAGGAGGATGCATATAATCCCTTAGATACCTCTATTATAACCATTTACTATAGGTGTGAACATGTCAAGAAAAATTGGTAAGAAAAATGACTAATAATGCAATTTAGAAATGACAACAATCAGGAAAAACTTTGGAGTGCATATTTGATGCATGAGAAGTTAAAATGCAAACCTATAAATCCATTACTTCTTTACTAAAAGGAAACAGGTCTATAAACTACTGTTTATGGCGAAAACGTACAAGTGTTAAGTGTTTAAGTGTTTAAAGTGTTTAGGTGAAGTACCATAAGTTAAGTTATTAAATATTCTTGTAAAAAAATATAATTAAAAGTTTTTTTTTTATCTAATATTTCCAGCCACGTTTTAGTGAACTTGCAACATTGTCAAAAACACAGAACTTTCAGTTCTGAAAATACCTAAATACATGCGAGATCATTCAGATATTTTGCTCATCCCCAATTAAAACAAACACTTGCGATTAGTTCATGTAATCAGCCAGATCAGCGAGTACCGATTGAGTCATCAAACGTGATTATTGGCCGATACCGATCGATCGAAGCATCTCTAGTTAAATTGCTTATTGCTTAACAGGATATTTCTATTTCTTTAAATAAGTAAAGTTTAGCGCACATATGACGACTAAAAATGTTTGATTCAGTGGTTCAGATGTGCCTGTCATTATTATAAATGTTTGATTTAGGGTTGCATAGTACTGGAATTCGGTACTAATCGATACAGCAATGTTAAAAACCTCCATTTACCAGTGACCTTCACAGCCAATCACAGTCATTTCTGTTGAGCATGTGAAAACAACGGCAAATCCGCGCTGTTTAAGAACGTGCTTCATAGCACTCAAATGTCAGCGGGAAATAGACTATATAAAATTTCAGTATCGTGACAACCCTAGTTCGATTCGAATAACCAGTAATCCCAAAAAGTTTGTTGAAGGTTCAGTTGACTCGTCTTTGATTCAAAAATAGAGATTCCAAAACGAATGTTAGAAGGTTGCGGCTGGAAGTTAATGAAAATGATTTATATTATTTATTTAATTTCCTATTAATTATATTTTATTAACGTCTACCCCCATCCCAACCCTAAATCCACCTGCCACAGTAACAAAAAAACAGTAGTTGTACTGAATATTATTATTTTATCTACTAAATTACCAAATAAATTGTATTTTTTTGACATCTACTTCTACCCTAACCCTAAATCCAACTGCCACAGTATTGTAAAAATATTTATTATTGTCATAAAAATGCTTCTATATCATATATCGCACTTCAGGCCAGCCGTGTATCCTATCTACACTTTACTATGTTACAAATGCATCTGTAATTCCATACCCTGTCTTATAATTAGCAAATCATAGCATTCAATCATAGTTTCTATTGTAGAAATGAGTTAAAATTGATAAGTTCTAAATGCTTGAATATGCACTAGGTCTTAATGGTTCAGGTAAAGTTAGTGTTATTTTCACACATTTGTTCAGAGACAACCTCCCTTTATTTTTTTTATCATGATACCTCAAATATTTGGTCTGAAATTACTTGAAAGTATGGTCTGAAAACAACATTAGCACAGCACTATTTATTTTACTCTAAACAATGTTGTACTTTGAGAGTCAGTGGCTGCTATTATGATTTCACTTTTTAGAATTTGCAAACACTTTTCTAAAATTATATTTTTGGGGAGAAAGTCTGAATGTGCGAATATAAAACGATTTTATCTCAATGTTTTAAGGCCCTCTCAAATGTCCATCACAAGCATCTCACAGCAAAATGAGTCCCTACAGCACAGGTGTCAAATCCAGGTCCTGGAGGGCCACAACTGTGCACAGTTTAGCTTTAACCCTAATTAAAACACCTGATCAGATGAATTTAGTTCTTTAACCTTGTTTGAAATTTACAGGTAAGTGTGTTGAAGCATGGTTGCAACTAAACTGTGCAGAGCTGTGGCCCTCCAGGAGTTTGACACCTGTGCCCTCCAGTAACCAAACATTAAACAATTAAACTTTTTGATGTTAAATATGTAGATTTTAGTCTTTTTTTGTTTAGTTACAATAACAAGAGTATTACTAATCGCACATGTGTCCGATATTCCCTGTTCACTGGCTGTTGGCTTGAATGTTACCCTGGTCGAAAGGTTTGAATAAATGATGATAGGGATGTTGTTTCACTGGCACAAAGGCACAGTCTGACTTGAGTCTAGAATGACTGAAGACGGCAGTCTTGGAAGTAATATCCATGGCACTGTGCAGAAAAGCATAAAATCAGGCTTTAAAATCAATTTGCATGAATTGAACATTTTGATTATTTCTGATGTAAAACTCTGATTGCCTAATGAAAATGTTTAACTCGCTTCTAGTAAAGAAAAGTTAGCTACTTGATGTTTTCCACTGATTCAGGAAGAAAGGAAAAGAAGTCAGCAAAACCAGAGTCTCAGGCAGGCGGAAAGACTCCATATCCTGCTCTCAAATTCAGTATATATTCTTGGAAAATGGCTATTCTTTTACAACTGTGCATTCAGCAGATAGTTTTATCCAAAGTAACTTGCATTTCTTTCTAGTTATGTCTTTCTCTGTTTACCTTGGAAGTGAATTGCCAGTGTATGTTTCTTTAAAAAATTCTGTCTATGGCTGTACTTTGGGTGATTTGATGAATTATGAGATCTGCATGACAGTTTGACTAGACAGTAGTTATTTATTAACATGTTCTTTTTCTTTTATCCTTGCAGGTGGAGCAATGAATGGAGATCTGCATGGGGTAAGGCCTTGAATGCTGTATTTTGAATGCTCAATGCAATAGTACAAGCACTATTGAACAAACCTGCATTACATAAGAACCATATATGGTCATTTCATATTTATTACAATAAAAAAGTAAACATGCATGTCTCACAGCGTCTTGTAATAAACCCAGACAACAATCTAGTGTTTTTTTTAAAATATTTATTTCAATGAGTGCCCTTTAAAGGGTTAATACCTAGTGCCAAACCAACCTTGTTTTAGTTTTAATACATAGTAGTTGTACGTGTGAGTTTCTCTTGCATGTTTTTATACTGCAGTGTAAATACATCTGTAGTACATTTTAGTTTTTGCTAGTGTTGATAATAGCAAATGAACAAAAGACTAAATCTAAACCTTCTTTGAACTTTTGTTTCAGTTGAAGCACTGGTTTAAATAGCTGAAAAATTACTTTTGTATATTTAGCCAATATGTGATCATTAGCCTTATGAAGCCTACTGTAGGTTTGTTTTACTTTTGTGCTGTTATGCATCAGCAGTGTTGAATAAATGTAATATTTAATATCTGGATCATATGTGACGCATCTGTTTTTAATTTGATCATCTCTTAAGCCTGGTTTATGCTCCGCCTTCGCTTGAGTGTGCGTGGCGAATGAATGAGATGTTATCTCTGTGTTTGTGTAGGTTCACTTTGGGTGCGTGACAATTTCGGCTGGCGGAGTGCACAATTTTTATTTTTTGAGACTTGAGCGAACAGTTTGAGCGGTGCTGCGTTTGATTTAAGTTGAATATGAAATACTTTGAAGACATTTTGTCTGAAACAGTACGACTGTACAGACATCTTCATGATCCGTCCATAAGTGATCGTAGGGATTATCAGGTGGAAAATGATTATTGGCTAGAAATTGCAACAGCCATGGGAAAGAAAGTTTATTAAAACGTTTGGAAAAACCTGAGGGATAAGTTTGTTTTAGCCAAAAGAGGCCATGGCAAAAGTGGAGACTCGGGTACACAATTACAGAAATATATTTTTCCACCATTCACAGGTTTTACACTGATGCATATATTACAGTTTTAAATTTAAAAACAATTTAATAGTTACAAAACTGTAATTAGGGAAACAAATTATTTCTTTAATAACTGGAAAAAAAAATATCGAACCTATCGGTTTACAATGTACTGATGCCCTGTTTTACTAGGCTTTATTGGTGATAATGGTCAGAAATGTTGGACTAGGCTAAATCTGACACATCAACAGTATTTTTTTAGTAAGTGTACTTTTTTTTTTCTGCTTTTATTCTTGCCATAATTTAAAACGTATTTGAAGAGCAACGCATGCTCTGTCATTAACATTTTAATAAACGTTAATAGGTAAAAATGTTTGAGATATTAACAAAAGCATGTGATGCATCAAAGTTTGATAAAAAAAAATTCTTGAATGGTTATAAAAATGTTTATAATCATTAAAATAATGTATTAGAATAATTAGTTTAAAAATCTTGAATGATATTAATGCTCTAACATGGTTCCGGAAACTTTCTACTTCTCTGTTTTGTCTGTCTGATTTTACGGTGTGTTTCTTTTGACCGCCTCATGTCGTTTTAAAGAATATCTCAATGGCGAACGCGTCAAGTTTAAAAACCTTGTCCATTTCGTAAGTTGCGACACCGCTTCAGGCAAAAGTAAAAATCAGGCTTAAGTCTTCATTTAATGTCGTTAGTTACACAATTTGCCCCCTCAATAAAATAATACATTTAAACATTTACAATACATTTATTTATCATCTTACTTTAACCTATCAGATTTAAATGATTAATTACAGAATAACTGAGATCGATTTTTGCATTGTATCTAAATTGCCTTCCGCACTTTTCTCACTAATTTCCATGACAAGCTTTTAGATTGACTTTTAGAGTCAACCCAATTGTGTAATTTTCTTCTGCTTGGTGCTCTTCATATGCTATAAGAGTATATTACTTCTATATGACACATAATGTGTGTAAATGTCTATGTATTGTGTCAAATATGATACAATGCTTGATGGATGAACAAATAATTTTGACTCCAAATCAAATAAATTGTCAGGCTTTACATGCTGAGCAGAATTCTGAATGCCCAGTTTTACCAGTGACTCCTATTTTAAAAAGCCAGTTTTGTTTTTCCAATTCAAATATATAATAAAATTCATAAACATAATGGACAAATCCCTGATCCAGATACCAAAATTAAAATCTATCAACTAACTTGCGTTCTGGAATTGTGTGGCTTGGCTGTGTGTGTTCTGTAGGAGAGTAATGGCCCTTCAGATGTGTACGCGGCCATCTCCAGTGTGGATCGGTTGCAGGCTGAGCCGGAGAGCTTGAGGAAGTGGAGAGAGGAGCAGCGAGATAGGCTGGAGGAGCTCGGTAAACGCAAACCTGACCCCTGGATGCTTTTATATAGATGCATTTAAAGTTTGAAGTTCATTTAGGGTTGACGAATGTTTCTCTTCAGATGCGAACTCGCGTAAACAGGAGGCCGAGTGGAAAGAGAAGGCAAAGCTGGAGCTGGAGGAATGGCACACCAGGCAGAACGAGCAGCTGGAGAAAACCAAAGTCAACAACAGGTACAAAACACTGTTCGAGCAGAAGAAATCAACAAGGCAGGCCTAGTTTCTGGCTTTTGCTGTGCGATTACAAGAGCACAAGACCTGCACAGTTTAGTTTCAACCCTGCTTCAATACACTTACCCAGAGGTGTAAAACAAGCCTCAAGGACTCCATTAGTTTGATTAAGTGTGCTTAATAAGGGTCAAAGCTAAACTATGTAGAGCTAAGGACCTCCACAAACTGAGTTTGACACCTGTGCACTAGACAGTGCATGGCTCCCTTTATTACTCCATTTGTATATTAAAAAAAAGTTTTACACAGCATTAAAAAAAAAATATATATATATATATATATTTAAATAAATTTGCACCAAACAGAAAAACAATCAACATCAAACAAACAAACATCCCCAAACAAAGAAGCTCCATTTTTAAATACACAGCCGAGACATTATACCAGAAGAGGCACATCGCTAACAGTCTGCAAACAAATGGTGTTTGATCAAGTCCTCAATCGTCATACAAATGCACAGCAAGTGTATGCATAGGTTGAATACACAACTCCATAATACTCAAAATAAATAAGATTAATAAAAATGTAAAAAGTAAAATAGACAGTTAAAATAAATAAATAAATAAAATGCAACTCATTGGACACTCCCAGCATGAGTGATTGTAAAGATTTATCATCTTCAATAATATTGTAGGTTTTTTGATGTTGACTATGGCACAAAAATAGACTTGAATCGTATTACGTTCTTGTATTTTATAGAATTATCATAACCGTTTGATTAGATTTAATGTAATGATTTATTAGGGCTGCACAACATACAGTTTTAGCATCAATATTGCAATGTGTGCATCTGCACATAGATGTGTATATGTTGGTATTATATTTTAGTAAGAGCGATTATCCTGAAAACATGAAACTTGTGGATTCGAACCATAACAAAGTTTGTCATCTGCATGTGTTAATAAGTGAAAAAGCAAGCCTGATAAAGGTGACCCATACCCATCTATACTGTATTGTGCTGTACCACTCAGTGGCCATAATACAGATTCCTTGTATTTACCTATTTATTCAACAAATAAATGACTATACAGCGTTATCTTGCATATGATTATTCAATTTTTGTATCTGAATACTGTTTGACTCTCCAAAGAAACATAAAGCACTAGCTTTAATTTAGCCATATTTTTAAATGATAATTTATACATCATTCACACCCAGAATAATCCCCAATCAGTCTGAATAATAAAAAAAAAAAATTCCACATGAAGCTATTCAAGCTATCTGGTGAAGTTGTATTTATATCGCAATAAATACTGCAGGAAAACAACATATTTTTCCAATATCGTGCAGCCCTATTAATAATAATGACTTATTACTCACTGCTGCCACCTACTGCTGGTTTAAGTGCCATGTGTATTTATCCTTGACAGGATAGGTCAAGCTAATGTTCCAGCACAAAAGCACACCTTCAAGTACTCCAAGTACAATTGTAGCCATTTTATGATCCGAAAAGCACACTGAAGAAGCAGATCTGAGAGTCTGACCTTGTTCAATGGTCATGTGAGGTCACAAAATCATAGCTGGTCCAATCAGGAGCAGGTATTGTATCCATCATCGCTTTAGGATGTTGTGTTAGAATGGGGGGAAAAAGTGATGAGAAACTCTTGATCAGTTGGTGAAGCATCTGAGAACTATATTACAAGAACAGGTATTAAGTCAGAAATCAAATGTAACTTCAGTCACATGCTTTGTGCTTCCCATTCAGTCCCAGTGGAAAATTCACAAATGTTTTGGTACAAATGAAAATGCCACGTCTTCTTAAATCTCTTTCAGAATATCTGTCTTAATTCCTGTCAATGTGAAACGGTTGTCTGAGTTCTTTGTCTCTGTCTGTCTCTCTTATGTGTTCACGGTTTGTCATCTTGTATGTTCTTGGCCTGGTGTTAACACTGGCTCTGTATGAGTGTGGTTTTTCTCCTTTTTACCACTCTCTCTGTTCTCTCCTGCTTCGCTGCTCTCCTCTGGGACTTCCAGGGTGCTGGATGAGGATTTCTACAAACAACCCTTCGCTGATCTGATTGGTTATGTGTATGTTGCTAAAACTAACATCCTTTCTTTTCACATGCATCTCTCATTCCCTCGTTTCCCCGCATCCCATCTTTTTTTCCATCACCTGTTAATCTCACACATCTCTAACTAAACTCTTCGTTCACTTCATGTTTGAAGCCAGATAGTTTTTGTTCAACTAATCAGACCAATATTGTTGCACACTATGCATGTTGTTCATTTGTATATTTTTGTTTTAGTTTCATAGATTTTTTTATTTGTCTTGTCCAACATTTTTTTTTTTTAAATCAAGATCTTTTTTTTTTCCATGGTCATTCATAAAACGTTTAACTCATTATTTTTCTGTCATTTGTGTTGTGCTTTTTTTCATATTGTGTGAATTATTCCGATATTGAAGATATACTGTGTAAACATTTGTATAGATGATGATTAGTCAATGCTGTTTATTGTCTTTTATTAATATTAATTTAGATGATTCAATATGTTAGTGCTATTTAGTGTAGTAGAAGTAGTTGTGTTATCTGTAATGCAGTGAATTTCTTCCCTAAGTATTAGTGAATTTTCAAGCAACTACGTCTCTGGCTGATCTTAAAACCAGCGGATCAGTGAACTAGCCAGATATTGAATGCTAAAAAACAAAAATGTTTTTTAATGCTTTCTAAAACTAAGTCTGATATGTTTTTGGATATATTTGTGTTTTGGGTGTCTTAGAGGTGCACTAGGCCTTTTATTTTCTTTTAGTATAAATAATAGTAATGGGTTTATTATTAGAATATACTATAAAAGCTCTCTCTATAAACAAACTGTTGAATTGAATTGCTTTTAGGGCTTTAAGATATCTGTGATGTGGAAAATGTAGAAGAGATCCTGTCAAAACTGTGCAAAATGAAATAAATGTACAAATTTTGGATCAAAAGTCGAAAAGTATACCTCATTAAATCAAGTTTGACAAATTATAAATGGCAAAATGTATATTTGTATATATTAACTGTGTGTTCACACAGAATGCGGTGAGAGCGTTTAGTTTGGTCTGGTGACAAACACTGTCTGGGTTTACTGCTCCACTGGCAAGAGCGCCAAAATTCGCTGCGTTGATCTCATATTTAAAGGGTCCGCTGCAGCGAATCGGTTACCTTCCCGCATAAAAAACATGCTTTTATCAAATTCACATAACTGGAAGATCAAGTTGTTGCACGTGGTGTGGCTTTGCTCTACTTATTCAATATGTTTCTTAATGTCAGAAATATTTTGAAGCAGCAATACTGTTTTGTATTGTCATTACAGATAGCATGAGATTTCCGCTTTTTTAAAGAAAAAAAAAAATAACATTAATGCACCAACTCGCCAGTAATGTTGTTTTAATGTAAATTCCTGTAAGAAATTATCGTTAACAATCAGAAATCTGGCGACAGAGACAATCAAACCCATGGGAACAATTGTCGTCGGAACCAAAGTTCACATGACTGTGTTCTCTTGAATTCTCTGTAGCGGTCTGTCTACATTTTGATTTGTTGCCACTGAACAGTGTCAAAGCTCTTTACCATGAAGTTCACTTGATTTCAACCAAAGTCTTTTTAAGGCAAGTCATTTCACTTGGCGGCCATCTTTGAAATGTTTGGGCTTTGTGTTTAAACAGGGAAACGTTAAGTTCTCCAAAATTGCTCGCCAAGCTTATGATAAAATTTCATATTACAAATAACCACTAAAATTAAACAACAACTATCGCTTTACTTTTATTTCTAAACATTTGAATCACATAAAATCTGCAGAAAGTCACACCTGGTCCGAGCCCCTCCCTCTGAGAATCCTCAGTCTATAGAGATCACTGATTGGCTACTGTAGTAGAAGGCGGGGCTTTATTTGCCATATTGACGTTACACTTTTCCTCGTCTTGTGTCACGCGTCTTGTGTTTTCTATAGTCTTTGTTCCAACTCTCCTTTACATCCACACCAGGGAAGATGCGCCTCCTCACTTATCGTCGGCAACTCCCATCAAAAACGAATGACTTGCGGCGACTTTGACGCTCTTGCCACTTTTTTTGTGAACGCAAAGTTGTATCATGACGACAAATTTCATAAAATATATATAATTGTATTGAATTTTATGTTTATAATTTAAATTGAAACTTTTATACATTTAACATTGAAATGTATATAACTTATATAAATTTATATAATAAAAACATAATTTTAATTGTTAAATGTAAAACTGCTTGTAATAAAAGTTAGTTTTCAATTTATTACAAAATTTTGGTTAATAGAAATTACATTAACATTACATTTTTAATACATTTAGGTATATTTAAAATTGTTTTGTTGTTATTATTATTGTTATTTAAAAAAGTCTTTGTGCACCTTTTATCTCATAACTGGCACTTCGGCCGGACACCTAGTTGCTTCAGTTAGACAGTTTTCTTTATTTAGAAGTATGTTGTGCATAGGTTGAGCAGAGCTGTCCCAGGCTAGAACTGTAACTGTCCTCTTAGTTCTGCAGCCCTCATGCTCATCACAGACCTCTTACTGCTTCTGCCTATTCTGCAGAACTAGCACAAACACTAGCTGCTTTTCTTTTTTGCTTGGTAAACATCTCTCAACTGAAGCGCCAGTTGAGATTGCTGAATGCCATATAAGCGGCTCACACACACACACACACACACACACACCTCAATGACGGCTGCAAGCTAAGCGCACTTAGAACAACACCCCTAAGATGACTTGGGTTTTGAACAGTGCATGCCTGCTTTGGTCATCTGCATAAATCTCATTTCTTTTGGTTTTCTATATATCTGACTTGTGATCTGTTTCTCCTTGTTTTTCTTTTCTCTATGCACCTTTAAGCACTCACATTAACCATCCTTGCTACCGCCTAGACCAGTTAAGTAAAAAAAGAAAATGACAATAACCAAAAAAATCTTAAAACAAGACAAGAAATCCAAATATGCTCAGGAAACAAGCCACTGACTGCAAATTGATATACACCAATGAATTGCTGTCTTTATTACCATCAAGATGTTTCTCTTCTAAAGTTTCTAAGATTCTGGATGTCATTTTGTGGTGATGTGTTGGTGCACTAGTCCTGTGCGTTGATGTAATTGATTGTGACCGTGATTTACCTCATTGGCTTTTCATACCCATTTTGCTGTGTATACTGTGTGTGTATATATAGTGGAGAGGCTAATGCAACTCTACTAGACTGAGTCCACGGCAGCGGAAAGGGTTGGTAACGGGAATAGTCCAATATGGTTTCAAAAACCTTTAGTGTGTTTGGCTTGCCAGAAACTTGGTTTAGTTCCCCTCCCCCATGCTCAGCAGAAGGCCCCGCTTTTGGTCACTGCCAAACGCATGGCACGTTCAGCCTTTGCGCAAAGATTTAGTGGTTAAAATAAGCCAATGGGCCTGTCAATCGATACATTGAAGGCTCATTAGCGTACGCCGTTCCTCTGACCCTCAAGAGACGAGGAACATCCCTTAATTCAAAGTGCGACCAATTGTTTTAACCGACTGAATCGCTGCAAAACTTTTTAATTATGGCTGTTCTGGAAACCTTTTCCTGCCTTCAAGATGGAGACTAGTTCTGGTAATGGTGGGTTGGGGGCATGATGCTCAAACTACCATCTGTTTTGGATGTGGTCACTTGAAGAATGTCTCTGAATGTATCGATGGATGGAAAATAAGCACCTGGACGCTCCTGCTTTTGGCTCACGCACCTCTAACCTCCTAACCAAAAAGCTCCTGGTGAAACATTTCAGATTTTAGACAACTCCTTACTGAGTTCTTTGGAAATTGATCGTTTGAAGTTCTGGAGGCTTTGAAGGAGGTCAGCGGTGCTGCGCTCAAGCAGGACGGGTCTGCGAGTGTTCCCCGTGTCTATCTGAAGCTGATTTTGGTTTGTCATCGGCAGGGCGGCTGAGGAAGCCATGGTGTCGGAGCTGGATGAAAACAGTCCTGGCACAGAATGGGAACGTGTGGCGCGTCTTTGCGATTTCAACCCTAAATCCAGCAAGCAGGCAAAGGATGTGTCCCGCATGCGTTCAGTGCTCATCTCTCTTAAACAGGCTCCGCTCGTCCGCTAAACAGCTTCAAAGTAAACGAAAATCCAACAATCCCAGCAACCATTGGGTTTCACAACATCGATTTCCTTTGTGGCCCTATCCCAATGGCTTTGAGCTCCATATATGAATAATCTATATTATATTATATGTATGTGTAATATGATATAGTTATGTCTATAAATATTTCATCTATAAATATATACATGCATACATAAATATATATAACAATGTTTTTATTTTTGGTGTCTATTTTATGGACCAAACTCCATGTTCCACCTATTTTTCCCCTCGCCGTGTAGAGCCAGCGTGTGGCATTGTGACACTATCGATCTATGCATTTCCCTCGTGAATCTGTTGGGGAATCCAGTACTGACGTCTTGTGTATGTTGTATACAGATGGTGTGCGTGTGTGTGACTGTACATAAAGACTGGTCTTCTACACTTCATTGTGAGATTATGGCACAAGTTGTTGTTGTTGTTGTTAAACAGAGCTGTACCCCGGTAAACGTTAACTCATGTTGTCCATTCTGTTTCAGTTTGATTAAACACATTTGAAATGGTAAGTGTTTGTGTGTCGCCACCATTTTATTTGCACTGTTTGGAGGAAATCGTGAGATCTGCTTTTTCTTTAAGTTTTCTTAAAAATCCTTTACTTAAAGTGAAGAAATGTAGGTTTAATTTTAAAGTTGCTGTATATACATTTTTGACTCTACTAAAGCATCAAAATACCATAATATGTTTGCAGATATTTGAGAAACATGCCAAGTAAATATACTTGTTTATCTGAAAAACAATGCTGAAGTCAGATATTCTGCTTTTATAAATGTTCATTACGTGCCAAAACGACTGTCTTTGTTTTGGGTTTTTTAACCTGCACATTGCCAGTTTAGCCAATTATAATTCAGCACCCCGGGTTGCCTCGGTGGAAAACCAAATATTTCATTCATTCAGTCAGGAAGGCTCTCAGAGCATGTGCCTGTGACCAAAAGGTGACCTCTGGTGGACAGTAGCAGACTCCTAAATGAGACGCAGATTCAAAGTTCCACATGAGGTTATTATTTAGCAAATAATATAAAAATATGAACATAAGCATTAGGTGAGCAGGTTACACTGTAACCCTGTGTCCTAACAACATGCTACGTGACGAGATTTGCAGTGATACGCAATTTGGCTGTTTGCACCAGACGAAACAACAGAAATTTAAATCCAGCCATTCAGAAGCACAGAATATGCACTCACTCACGAAATGGTGAGGATGATTAATTAATACATATTAAACCTCTTTAACATTATGAAATGTAGATGCTGAATTACTTTGTGTTGGTTTTAATTCTAAAATTATATTTTTAACTGTTTATTTTCAAGATCTGAGGTGAACTATCTGCTGCTGCTGTCAGTAGTATGGCAATAAATGTCATGTAAAATGGCATTCAAACTCACATTATTTTTATACATTTAACACTGGATAACAATTATTATACATTTAACACTGGATAAAGCACATGAGGTGATCATTGTCAGTTTTCTGTTGTTCAGCTGTGAGAAATAGAAGCCGAAGAAGGACAAAAACCCCTTTTAATATGGAGAATATTTCCACTATTGCGTGCCGTTGCTTTTATTTAGAAGATGATTTAAATCAGCCTTTAGTCTCACTCATCAGACTTGGGTTTTTTTTTTTTTTTTTTGGTCCTCAATCTGGCAACATGCACTTGCGTTTGTTTTGATCCAGCAATGCAATACCTATTTCAACCACTGGGTGTCAAACATATACTGCACCTTTAAAAGTCACATTTAAAAAAAATTCAAAGAAAAATAATAAATTTATAAATTATTATAATGATAACATATTAAATCATCTGATACTTGTAAAACCAACTGGTGACCTGTTGCTGAAATATTGTGAAAAAATCTAGATTATTAATGCATGTCTCATGATTTCATTTACAATCTTTATTCTGGTAAGTCTAGGGAAGCCAGTCTGCCACATAAAATAAAATTACACATTTCATTATTTCATTGTGTTATCATTAGAAATGTGTCAATTGTTATTGTGGTATTTATATATAAAAAAAATCATTTATACCTTTAGATTGAAAGATTTTCCCCTTCTAAACTGTATTAGATTGATGGGAGTATGGCTATTGTGACCATAGATGTTGAACTCATACTCAAATGTGACAGAATAAGGCTTCCTTTATGAAAAGTACATTATTTAGTTGAGCGAAAACATTTAGAGACAGATTTATACAAATATTTGGTTAACTCTCACTCAAAATAATTGGGTTAAAAATACCCCAACATAGAACCCAACTATAGGTAATTATAGCAACTTCCCAACTATAGGTTATATAATTTAACCCAATGCATTGGGTGATTTTGATTAAATGATATTTTCCCCATTTTTACATTATGGCTGTGTAAATATATAATATATATATTTTTTAAAAATATTGCAAAATGCTTAATTTCCGTTACATTTCAGTTGCAGACACTTTTAAAATAAATCAAGAATCACGAACAATAAAGAAACAGAACAAAGTACAGGCAGTTATAAACTGCAAGCAGAGAATCCTCTGTTGATGGAGCACAATATGAAGCTGTGTGTGCTGTAGTGACCATCCAGCAGCTGCAGCAGGCTTCACTCAGTGTCTACAAGGACAATACATTTTTACCACTCCTCTATCTAATAAAAGATGGTTTTGGATAGTGAAACGGATATAAAAAAAAATGACAGAGATCATTTGATATATATATATATATATATATATATATATATAATTGCGTTAAAGCTTGAATAAACTATAACGCTAATCGGTTAAATCAGTTAACTGTTTCTAAATTCTAATTTTTACCCTAACTGGTTGAGTTTTTAATAAATAACCAAATAAGGGTTAAAGGGTTAAAACAAAACACAAAATATGTTTAACTCAACCATTGGGTTAAATAAATGACCTTTTTTAGAGTGCCTGATTTTAAAAAGCAGATGGAGCATCTCTGGTCTGTTCAGACTTACTTAAAGGGGAACAATTTGAAATATTAGTTTGACATTGAATTAAAGATGAAAGGAGCAAACATTCAACAACCCTGTAGTGCAAACGGTCACATTTATTGGCTGTCTTTTACAATGGCACAAGTTTAAAACCAGCACAATGAAATGCGTTTAGAAAAACCATAAACTCAATCATTCATCAATATAGGTTTGGTCATCTTCTAAACCATTTGTCAGATAAAGTAATGCAAAGACTCCAGCATGGCCAATTAAGATGTGCTTAGTTACCAATTTCACTACAGCAAAAAACTCCCAATTTTTAATTCAGTCATAGTAATAAGCCAATCAATTCATTCATTGCAGAGTTCTTCCAATGGAGTGATTAAAAAAATCTTCATTAAAGGTTTTCTGACAAAAACTGCTGCTGTTCATCTATGCTAAAGTCTCCAGATCCATCATGGATGCCGCTTTTCTCCGTTGTGACATCACACTCAGCTGAAAGAGAGATGGGGGAGGGTGTTCAGTACAGATTCTGAAGAGAAATTGATTTATACCAGCAATAGACCAGCATGTCACATACGTTTACACACATTGCTTTTCTAAAATGCAGTAAAAGCAGCAGCCCGAGCGAGAAGCATTTTCTGTTACAATCTGTGTTTTAAAATGAAAACACACAAGTGTAAATGCCCCCTATTTGCAGGGTTTTGTCTGGTTCAAAATGAGGAGGTGGCGTCCAGATCATGAATATTTTGCTACAGTTATTCTCCCTAAAGAGCTCTCTCATTTAACAAGGCTAACATCAAATGCAGTAAACACATGACCAGTGCTTGAGCTTTAGTTGGGGTCTGTCATATATATTCAGTTCTGCATTTGCTTAGATATTAGATAACAATTAAACAATTGTCATTTGTCAATTAGCAGTGCATTGTGGGATTGTAACTCTTGTTTTAAACTATGCCTCTGAAGTAAAACATTGTACTGTTGTGCTTCTCCTCATAGTGGTTCATTAGTTAAAGTGTGTAGAATATGGCAGACGTTCACCTGTTGTGAAGCACTTGCTGCACGCTGCTCTGCCTGAGAAAGACGCCGCTGTAGACGAGTGTTCTTCTCCTGCTGTTCTGAGACCTGCCTCTCAAACTACACAAGACCACAACCACAGACTCGATCACTCACAGGATATATTACAGGCACAAACAAAGGTGTGCATTATTATTTATCTATGACTATAGCGAGATCAAATATCACTCATTCACTGATCTGTTCAGCCACTTGATTGGTTTCTAAATCAATCAATTATTTTGAGCAAATTGTTGAATCAATAAATCCCTCATACAAACGGGAACTTCTGCCACCTATTGGCACAAACACAACATTGGAAAAGAATACAGCAGAATTTGGAAAAAAACATTCATTATTGCTAATTAAAAAGTTTTCCCAAACCATAAATAAGAAATGTTTGTGGATCTTGCCCACCTCCAGTATCTTCTGATGATCAGCTTCCATCTGGATCTCTAGTTCCTGAACGCGTTGTTTCTGTCTGTTCAGCTCTGATCTGTAACCAGCAGTCATTTCAGTTTAACCAGGGTTCCCACACTTTCAAGAATTTTTAAAGCACCATTAATTTTAAATCAAGCACCTTTGTGATTCATACCCCAGCTATAGTATATGTAGCACCATGAAAGTCCTTTCACTTACACTAATCATTTATTTATATTAAAAGTGTCAAGAGTCATTTTAAAAAAATGTTCAAAGAACTTTATTAAAATTTGTTGAACGCAATAATGGTAATATTCAAATGTAATTCCTGAAATATTGAGCAAATGTGTATTATTTGTCAGTGTTATTGTACAAGATTTATTACAGGGTTTTTTTCATTCTATTTTTCACAATTGAGTACAATTGTTGAAATAGCACCATAAACCAATTTTATTTCTAATTTAATTCAAGCACTTCCAAGGATCAACTATGTTTATATATTACAAAATAAATAAATGATATATATATATAGATAGTCACCTTTCAATTATAAGGTTCTGTCTGACATTTTTGTCAAAATTAAGTTATTGACATTCTCATTAATTGACAACACATTACATTTTAAGACTTTTTATAAAAAACAAAACAAATAAAAGCTCAATATCTCAAAATCATTCAGAACGCAGATAGAACCTTATAATTGCAAGGTGACGATATATATATATATAGTTTCAATCAGAATTATTAAACACTGAATTATTATCCCCCATTTATTTTTTCCCCATTTTTTGTTTAACGGGGAGCAGATTTTTTTTCAACACATTTCTAAACATAATAGTTTTAATAACTCATTTCTAATAACTGATTTATTTTATCTTTGCCATGATGACAGTACATAATATTTGACTAGATATATTTTTAAGACACTTCTATACAGCTTAATGTGACATTTAAAGGCTTAACTAGGTTAATTAGGTTAACTAGGCAGGTAAGGGTAATTAAGCAAGTTATTGTATAACGATGGTTTGTTCTGTAGACTATCGAGAGAAAAAAAATTTGGTTAAAAGAGTTAGTAATTTTGACTCTAAAATGGATTTT